TGGACGTCGCCGACGTGAAGGGCCAAAAGGACACGGCCCGCGTGTCGATTTTTGTGCACGCCGCGCATAATATGGCGCCTGGTACGTGTTTCCGCCAGGAATCTCTGCCAGCCTGCCCCGCAAAATTCTCAAAAAATTTCTGCTAGCCTGCCCCTGGGATTCCTGAAAAATCCTTGCTAGCCTGCCCCTCCAATTCCTGAAAGATCCGTGCTAACCTGCCCCGTTTCGTGAAAAATCCGTGCTAGCCTGCCCCTCCAATTCCTGAAAAATCCTTGCTAGCCTGCCCCTCCAATTCCTCAAAGAATTTCTGCTGCCTGCCCATCCCCTTGAATCTCTCATTTTCAGTCCCGAACGGCGGCGGCAATCGTACGGTGACCCTGCCGGAGACGTCGCTGGTGCTCGAGGGCAACGCCAAGGACGACGGCGAGATCAAGGCGTTCAACTGGACGCAGATTAGGTGTGTTTTCTTTCGCTTCCGCAAATTGTCTCTGCTAGCAGGCCCTGTAGCTTTAGTGCTTGCAGGCAGGCTGGCAGAGACCATTTCAGATCGGCCTTTCCTTCTTGATTTTCGGCAAATTGTCTCTGCTAGCCTGCCCTGTCGCTTTCCTGCCCTAAGGCCGGCTAGCAGAGACTATTTGAAATCCTTTTGCTAGTGGCCCCAACAACGCGTCGCTCGTCAACGCCAACCAGGCCAAGGCCACCGTCTCCGGGCTGCTCGAGGGCGAATATTCCTTCCGATTTGCCGTCGTCGACGACGGCGGGCTGGAGGCGAGTGACGTCGTCTGGGTCACCGTTGCTAGAGGTATTTTCCCCCAATGATCTCTGCTAACCTCCCCCCGATTTCCAGGCGAAAACAACCCGCCAGTGGCTGTGGCCGACAACGTGACCGTGGCCCTTCCGGTGTCGATCGTCCGGCTGGACGGCTCGAGAAGTCACGACGACGCGGGGATTGTCAAGTACATCTGGACGCCGGATGATGATGTCCCGTCAGCTATTGTGAGAATTTTGGGCACTCTAGCAGAGATTCTTTGAGGAAATGCGGTCCAGCTAGCAGCGACAATTTTCGAGAATCGAGGTCATTCCCTTTTTTTCAGCAACTCCTGGGCGACTCGGCGCGCTCCTCCGTTCTCCTTGTTGGCCGACTAATTGCAGGGACTTTTAAGTGAGTTTTTAGACCTGCTGGATCTCAAGGGATTCCTCAAAGAATCTCTGCTAGCACCCCGATTTTCCCCTTTCAGGTTCAACTTCACCGTGCGCGACCAGCAGGGCGCCAGCGACGAGCGCTGGGTGTGGCTGCACGTCGAGAAAGGTGGGCTTGGGCTTAGCTTCGGGTTAGGCTTGGCTTAGGCTTGGACTTAGGCTTCGGCCTAGACTTGGGCTTAGCTGGCTTAGGCTTAGGCGTAATCGATTACGACATGTAATTGTTTATTTTTTAGGTGAAGCCGAGGAGGAATCCGTCGAACTCCTCATCCAACAGTCCATCTCCCAGTTCAGCTTCCTGCTCAAAGAGAAGCTCGAAAATCGGTGAGCCTCGATTTTTAAAGGGCCACTGAAGAAGCCCTTTCCTTCAGAATCTCTGCCATCCTGTCGACCGGCCTCTCGGGGGTGAGCGGCGTGAATGTGAATACCGTATCCGTCGACGAGGAGCCGGGCTCCGGGATGATTCGCTACATCTTTTGGGCCGAGTCGAGGGAGCAGACTGGTGAGGGATTTTAGTTGCGTAATCGGTGCGCGATTTTCCTCAACGATCTTTGCTAGCCTGCCTTTAGGGCCTGATTTTTATTGGGTAATCGATTAAGCGCGGTTTTTGGATTCCTCAGGGATCTTTGCTAGTCTGCCACTGGTAAAATAATTCTTTTGAGCGCGTAATCGATTAAGCGCGATTTTTTGATTCCGCAAAGGGTCTTTGCTAGCTCGCGTCCTAGGAAAGATCGATTTTGATAGCGTGATCGATTAAGCGTGGTTTTTTGTTTTCCGGAAAATATATGCTAGCCTACTAGAAATGCACTTTTTATTGCGTAATCGATTACGACAGGCAAGCTGGCGGAAACACTTTGCCATTTTCAGACGAGATGCGCCGCCGCCGGGGCAGCCGCTCAACGACTCAGGCCCAAATCCTGAAGGCCGACCTGATCGTGGAGGTGCTGAGGGCGGAGACGACGATGCAGGACAGCTTCTTCATCAAGAGCATCGAGCCTAAATGTGGGGGTTCCTGAATAACCGCTGCTAGGCTCCTAAAGGATCTCTGCTAGCCTACCCTCCTAATCTGCCATTTTCCAGACTGCCACCTCGACTGCTCGGGCCACGGCCAGTGCTCGGATCAGACGAAGGAGTGCGTGTGCGAGCGCTTCTGGATGGCCAGCCTCATCGGCATCATCCTCTCCGGGGGGAAGCACTACGATTGTGGTACGTCTTATTCTCCCTTCAACGGTCCTTTAAAATAGGTTTTTATTGATTACGCCATGGAATTCTGCCTTCAGTTTCTTTTTTTTTCAGGTTGGTCCTCCGTCTATTTCTGGATCGGCACGTTCGTCTTCCTGCTGTCCGTCTTCTACTACGTGTTCGTCAGGAAATCTTCACGATCCTCCTGGTCCAAGAAGGCCAAACGGTTACGGTATGGAAAAGCGATTTTTTGGATCTTCCTTGATTTTTAGATTCCGTAGAAGAAGGAGGTACTCCCCGGTGCATTCAGAAGAAAGTGAGGATGACAAACAGGAGAGACCTGGTCAGAGAGGTCAGCCAGCAGAGAATCTTTGAGAAAATCGGGGCTAGCTAGCATGGATTTTTGAGGATTTCTGGGGGGCAGCCTAGCAGATATTCTTTGAGGAATTGGAGGGGCAGCTAGCAGAGATTTTTTGAAGGAATTAGAGGGATTCTTTGACGATTTTTTGAGCATCGGCAGGCTAGCAGGGATTCTTGAGGAACAGCTCGAGCTTGGCTAGCTAGCAAAGATCATTTTTCAGGTCGCCACCACGGTGCCCGTCTCCAGCCCCTCCCTTTGCCGCCCTCCTCGGACTCGTTGCTCTCCGAGGGCGAAGATCTCCTACCACGCCTCGCGCCGGACAGCTCGCGACGGCCGGGCCGCAACGCCGGCGAGTCGAAGCGGCTCATATGAATTCGGTGGAGTAATTGGTTACGCTATGCAATTCCTTGTATCTAAATCTCCCCCCCCCCCCCACGTTGTCACAAGCCAGCTTTACTTGCTTAGAAAATATCATTTTCGTTTTGTTTTAAAGGGTCGCGGAAGTCTCGGCTAGTTTGCCTATAGTCTAAACGATTAAGCCAGCAGATTTCAGGCTGCCAGGCGCCTTTAAAACGCCTAAAAAGCGTGGTTTTACGAAAGCTTGGAAGCGAAGGAAATTCGAGCCTTCCAGGCTCCTTCCTATCTTCCTTTAAAACACCTCAAATCCGGTTTTAAAGGTACATGGATGTGAAGCTAGCGATCCTTGCTAGCTTGCCTAGAGTTTATTCGATTACGACATCAAATTCTAGCCTTCCAGGCTCCTTTAAATGTCCAGAGTCCGGATTTTCTAGTTTTTCTAGTTCGCCTAGGGTCTAATCGATTACGGCATGGAATTCCAACCTTCCACGTCCTTTTAAAACGCCTAAATTCGGATTTAAAGCCCCTCTGCTAGCTTGACTAGGGTTTAATCGCTTACGCCATCAAATTCTATCTTCCACGTCCCTTTAAAACCCCCCCAAAAACCCTTCCAAGCATTCCGCTTTTTCTAGTTGTGTGGTAGCCAATTTGCCTGTGATTTTTCATTGCCGGTTTTCGCAATTTTTTTTCTCTATCTGCACTCTTTTTCTCTGTCTCTCTCTGGCTCTCTAGTGTCCCTCTCTTTCTCTCGCCTTTTCTGTCCCTCTCCCTCTCAAACTCTCTCGCCCTCTCCCCTCTGCCGGGTCAACTCATCTCCTCCCCCCTTATAAACAGCCATGTGATACCATTTTTTCGGAAAATAAATAAATAAACAATCCCTGCTTGCTCCCCTCACCTCACTTTTTAAACGTTGTTTTCCGCTAATTTTGTTTTTTTTTACGATTTTTCTGATTTTCTGGAACTTTTGGATAAATGGTTTCTGCTCGCCGGCCTGATTTTTCAGCAAACTAAAGGCTGTAGGCCGTTGGAGGATATTTTATTCATTTTCTTGTGACTTTATCTTTATTTATATGGCGTGGTGATGTCAGAATTGCGTAAAAATGCAAGGTTAAAAGTTGAATCAGAATTTCTGCAAATTAAAGGACATAAGGTTGACAAAAACGCCGTTTTTCGATAATAGTCGGCCCAAAAATTACGAAATAGCTACAGACGCTGTTTTTGTATTTTTTCAATTATCAAGATTGCTTTTCTCTTTTAAAAACGACAAACTGTAATTCCCGAAATTTCTTTCGATGATAGTCTACCTAGGAATTACGAAAATTCACTGGAAAAACCTTTTTTTTTGTTGTTTTCCATTTCCAAACTTTCATTTCGTTTTAAAAGCAAAAAACTCAAATTCCAGGCTTCTCCTTGCCGAAAAAAACCCATTTTTTAGACGAACGCCGACTTGGAAATCACGAAAATTGATGGCAAAGCTTTTTCTAACCTTTTTCTCGTTTAGAGTTATAAATTCTAGTTCTAGGCGCTGAATGCTCGTTCTAAAAATTGAAATCGACTACCTGCAGGCTTTTCCTTGCCAAAAACTGGATTTTTTTAGACAAAAACCGACATGGATATCACCAAAATTCACCCAGGGCCTTGTTTTTTTATTGTTTTGCATTTCCAAGCTTTCTTTTCTCATTTAAAAACTATAAACTCCAATTCCAGGCGCCCAATGCCGCTCTAAAATGCTAAAGCTATTTTTTTTCAATTTTTCTTTGCCAAAAACGCTATTTTTAGACTCGGAAAATGTTGTTTTCCATTTTCCAAGCTTCGTGTTGCTTCTAAAGCTATAAACTTTCATTCCTGATTTTCCAGGCGCCACTTCTCGTCTCAACCCCCCTGTTTTTGATGCGGAAAAATGGATGGCGTGCCGTCAGCTGAAGACCATGCGCGGCTCAACATTCTCGTCAAACCGGTGCGTTTTTGTAGTTTGTGGTTTTACACTCTAAAAAGCCGTAAAACCTTGTATTTTGCGTTTTAAAACGTTAAACTTGGTTTTAAAAAGCTAGAAAGCCGAATTTCCCGTTTTCCAGATCGGTTCCCGGAATCCGCAGGCCTTCAACCGCATCCTCGAGCGCCTCAACCGGCAGCAAATCGTCCAGGGTGAGTTTCGCAAGGGATTTTGTAGCTTGTAGTTTGTATCCTAGTGTTTTTGACTCTATTTTTATCATTATTGTTTTTAGTCGGCGACCAGCAGCAACCGCGCGTCATCAAGGCCCACTTCACCGCCACCGTCCCCCCGGAATCGACGCGATTTGCCGATTTTCAGGTATAGGAAAGCTCAGAAAAGCGTTGAAAAGTAGTAATTTATGTAGCTTATAGTTTTTTTGGGCTTTATATAGCGAAAACTGGGCGCTTTTTCGATCCACAAACGTTTTTTAGCGTTTTTTCAGAGTTTGAGCTAGAAATTTAGCTAAAAATGGCATTATAACTTTTTCTGACCACTTTTTTGTCAATATAGCCTGTGTTAGAGCTTCTAAAGTATTATTTAGGCTTGATGCTATGAAAATTTCGAGCTTTTTTTGAGTTAGAAACGTTTTCACACGCTTTTTTAGAGGTTTGAGCCGAAAATTTGTTAAAAAAAGGCATCATGGCTATTTATTCTGAATTTTTTGCGATTTAGCGTATTGCACTTCTTCTAAAGTATTTTTTAACGCGTTTTTAACTTTTTAAACGCCATCCTTTGATAGGAATACTCATTTTCTAGGTGAAATTTCGTTAGAAAAGCTATTTTGATTTTTCTAGCAAAGTATTTTCCGATTTTTGCGATGCTAAGTTTTCTAAAGTATCTATTAAACGTTTTAGAACTTTCAAAAATACGATTTTGACGTCAATAACTTTTAAAATCCCAATTTCCAGATCCACCGGCGCATCGTGGGCGTGATCGGCGTGGCCTGCTGCTCGCCGTCCACGTCGACGGATCCGCCCAAAGAGGCGGGTTTTGCTGAGCTGAATTTAAAGCTTTATAATCTACAGTTTTTGCACTATTTAAATCTGTTTTTAAGTTTTTAAACGTCATTTTTTTCAGAAAGTCGGCGACAAGGTGGTGGCGGCCAGGCGGCGTTCCTCGGTGGGCGTCGTTGTGGGCATCGACGATGTGCGCATATTCTACGAGAACATTAAGGTTTGTTTTTAGCTTTAAAAAGTTTCCAAATCTGCTTAATAACTATTTTCGCTTTTTTTTCAAATTTTGTCGGCTTTTGGAGCGCAAAATTTTCGATTTTTTGGAGAAAAAAAAAGCTGTTTTTCCTTTCTCAATTTTCCTTTTTTTCCTAAAAATGTTATGGATTTTTAGAGGGCAAAATTATGTATTTTTGACGTTTTTTTGCTGACATAAATTTTTTATGGTTTCCGGATTGAAAAACGTTGATTTATCTCTCCCTTTTTCTAGTCAGACTTCACGACGTCGATCGTCGACAGCCGGTGCATCCTGATCGGATACGACGAGGAGCAGTGCTCGACAAGGTTCACCTCCCGGGAGACGCTCTGCTACAACGCCATGGAGGACACGGGTACGTTTTTTGTTGGATTTTGTAGTTTGTGGCGTAGTTTGTAGTGTAATTGCAGTTCTAATCACCCGAATTCAGACACGCTCGAGGAGGAGATTCGCGAATTCCTGCGCAACATCTATTTTGTCTACGAGCAAAAGCGCATGGACGTGGCCTTTGAGAAAGTGGTCCGTTTTTCGGAATCTAAAACGATTTTTGGCTCATTTGCGTGCTGGGTAAATCCAGGAAACATTTTTCATGCTTTTTACAGCTCTAATATAGCGGCAAGCGCTTTAAAAATGGTCTGAAATTTTGAAAATCGCATTTTGAACCATTTTACATTTACATTTTTTGGCGTATTTTTAAGCAAGGAAGCCTTAAAAATTAAATTGCTATTTTTTCGAAGCATTTTGAAACAATTTTTCGTGTTTTTGAGTATTTTATCGCACTTAAACGATTGCGCAGTCGGTAAAACTTTGCAAATTAAAAAAAAAATAACTTTTAACAAATTTTTGCTTTTTTTTGGCTAATTTTATACGACCAAAAATTCTCAAAACTGATTACGCTATTAAAACCGCAATTTTAGGTAATTCCCCGTTTTTCAGGAGCAACCCCCGTGCCCGATACTGCCCGAGGAGGAGAAACTCCGCGTCGGCACCGAGCAGAAAACCTCCAAAACCTACAAGTACGTTTTTTGACGTCTTAAAAGTCGATTTTTTTCAGGCGTAAATGCCTGGGGCGCTGCAAAAAGCAGCAGGCCGACTACACGCTCCTCGCCGGACTCCCTCAACAAGCGCTCGAGCACTACGTGGAGGCCATCGAAATGCTGCGCCAGGCGAACGACCTCCTCTGGCTGGCCGGCGCGCTCGAGGGGTGGTCATGTGCGGCGATGGCCGTCCTTTTCGAGGACGACAGCAGCTTGAGGTAATTGGTTACGCGATGAAAATTAATCTGGTGACGCCGGCGAATGCGAATCGATTACGCTATGAAATGAGCCTTGCGGATGGGCAAAATCGAATTTTTTCTATTTTTTATGCTCTGATCAATTATGACGTGAAAATCGGGCCGATTTTGCTATAAAATTAGCTATGCGTATGTTCAAAACCGAATTTTTTTTTGTTGATTTTGGCTCTAGCCGATTATGACATGAAAATCGGGCGGATTACACAATGAAATCAGATCGTCTGGTCCAAAAAAAAACAGCGCGGCTCGTTTTTTAAACATTTTTTTAGTTTGGATTCGTTGTTCGAATCGTTTAGGCTACCAAATCCGAGCGATTACGGCATGAAAATCCATCTTTTCCAGATCCCCAATGCACCGCGTCGCCACGATGAGCCCCCAACAAATTCGCGACGCCTCCTCGCAGGGCCGAAATTTGCATCAGCTGGGGTGAGCGTGCTTCCGCAAACTGCCACTGCTAGCTTACCCCCGGCTCGGGCAGTCTGGCAGCGATTATTGGGGAAACTCGAATTCAATCTTTGAGATTTTTCCGCAAATGGTTTCTGCTAGCTTGCCCGGGTGGGCTAGCAGGGTTTTTTAAGGAAATCGGGGTTTAATGTCTTCATTTTAATTTTTCTGTCTTTTCTTTTCTCTTGGTAGGCTAGCAGAGATTATTGAGGAATTTTTCGCTTTTACGGCCATTTTAATGCCATTTTTCAGCGTTGCCCACGGCCACCAGCGTTACCGGAGCGACGAGGACGCGTCGCGGCTCTCCGCCTCCTCCTCCGCGTCGGACAGCGCCGACAGGAGCGGCACGGGCGGCAGGAGGACGGCGCTGTCGTGGATCAAGTCCGACAAGAGGGATAGACTCGAGCCCCAGATCATCCTCGAACGATTCGAGACGGCCATCGAAAATTACGGGAAATTTGGGTATTTCGAATTTTTCGATTTTTTTAGTCTTCTACGTCTTTAGTTTCGCGGCGTACCTGGAATACGAGTGCATGATGAAGGCCTCCGAGCTGCTGCGATATCAAGGGAAGCTCATCGACATGGAGGCGGGTTTTAATTGGTTTCGACATCGGAATTGGGATATCTCGATCCGGTTACGCCATTAAAATAGATTAGCGGTGATTTCTGGGTTGCCGAGCCCTTTAAAACGCTTCAGGTCTATCCGATTACGCCACAAAATTAATTGATTGATTACGACATTAAATTGTGGTGGTATCTGGATTCGGTTACGCTATTAAAATCTGCTGGGCTTCTTTTTCGACTTGCCGAGGCCTTTAAACTGACCTGGGTCTATCCGGTTACGCGATGAATTCTGGAGTTTAGTCAGTTACGCTATGAAAAATCGGCGATCCGATTACGCCACTAAATCTCCCCCCGATTTCAGGAGTTCCACCGCAGCCACGTGGGCAAGTTCCTCGACGACTCGTTCACCCGCTTCGACCACCAGTTCAAGGCGCAGATCTGCTCCAACAGCGCCGAGATGTACAGGAAGGTAGCGATTTTGCCTTCAGTGACCCTTTAAAAAGCGGCGGAGCTTGCCTAAAAATGTCGTTTTTCGTTTTTGAAGCCTTAGAATGCGATTTTTAGGCCATTTGCAGCGAATTTTGCCTTCGATGGCCCTTTAAAAGGGGCGTGGTTTTCCTAAAAATGTAATTTTTTGTTTTGAATATCTAAAAATGTCATTATTGTCATTTTTGGTGTGGGTTTTGCCTTCAATGGTCCCTTAAAATCGTTGAAAAAGGCGTTAAAAAATTAAAAAAATTTTGAGAAAATCACCTTTTTTTCAGGTAAACTTCCACCGGAAAGCCTCGTTCTTCTCGCGACTCGGCGTGCTCTTCCGGCTGCACGTCACCGACGGGGAGACGAGAACCGTCGCCGACTACCGCATCGTCTATCCGGTATGGAAATTTTGCCTTCAATGGGCCTTTAAAATGGTTTTTAAAGCGAAAAAATAAGCTTTTAATTTAATTTATTTTAATTAAATGATTTTTTTATTCGAATTAAATTATTTTTATTTTTAATTAAATTAATTTATTCATGAAAATTTTTTTATTTGAAATTTTTTTGAAATTAATTTTTTTAGATCCTCTACCGTACCCTGGGCGGTTACGGTATCACGGAGAATGTGGGCAGGGAGCCCGCCCAGAATTCGGGGCCGTTCGAGCTGCAGATCAAGGCTCTCCACGAGGTGTACACGTCCGCCCTCAGGGCCCAGCTCCACGATGCGGCGGTTCGGCATTTGTGCCATTTGTTGCAGGTGGGAATTTGGGATGCCTCAAAGAATGTCTGCTAGCTGACCTTCTTTCCTCAAGGAATCTCGGCTAGCCTGCCCCTAAATGATCTCCGCTAGCTAGCCTGAACTTACTTGCCCCTAATGACCTCTGCTAGCTTTTTTGAGCGCCGCGGTTTTCCTAAATGGCCTCTGCTAGCTTGCCCGAGCTAAGCCGACCTCCCAAATGATCTCTGCTCGTTGCCCCGGCTCCAAAAATTATTTTCCGCAAAAAACCTCTGCTAGCTAGCCCCACTTTTCGTTTCCCAAAGGACCTCTGCTAGCTTGCTCACTTTTTATTTCCAGAATGATCTGTTCTGACGTTCCTTGGCCAGGAGAAATTCCCAAACGATCTCCGCTAGCCTTCGTTTCCTCTAAAAACATATTCCGCAAAAATCCATGCTAACCTTCCCCCCAATTCCAGGCCTACTACCCGCACCTTGACCAGCCGATGCGGAATCGTCTCGTCGGCGAGCTGCAGGGCATGACGTCTTCCCCGGCTCGTCACAACCTCGCTGTACATCTACCGCTCGAAGAGCTCGGCCTCGGCTCGTCGAATATCGTCCTCCCGCCCATACAGCTCGTCTCCTTCCCCCAGATACTGTAAGTGGGCGCTTTTTGAAAAATGGGCCATCTTCTGGGTTTTTATCGAAATTTTTGGAAAATTATGTATTTTGCTTTTTTTTTATTCGCTAGTTTTTTATCGATTTGGAAAAAATTAAGCGAATTTTTTATTTTAGAATTTTAAAATTTTAAAATTTAGTGTTTTTTAAACATGTTTTTGTCGATTTTTGTAAGACAATTTTTCTATTTTTAGGGACCCAGAAGTGCTGCCGCTGCCGTCGCATCTGGCCCCTCGAGTGACGCGCCCCTCCGACAATCACCGCTCGACGTTCATCTACTCCCATTTTGAGAGGGAGGCCGAGGAGAAACGGAGGAGGGAACAGGGTACGGAATTTGGGTGGTTTTTGCCGAAATTCTGGCGGGCAAAATGCCGAAATTTGCCGCTATTCGAGCTGTCGGCATTTCCGCTATCAGCTGTCGGTATTTTCCGCTTATCGGCATTTTTCCTTGTCGGCATTATCAGAGACCTGTTCTAGCTGTCGGCATTTTGGCAGTAGCTGCCCATTTTTGTCGGTATTCTCGATTTGTCGGGATTTTTGTCGGAATTACCAAAATTTTTTTGCAGCGATCCCGTGGATCGTCGACGCGTCGTGCAAGGTCAGCGTCCGCGTGCACAACTGCTTGCCCCAGGAGCTCGTCGTCAGGTATGGCTTGTTCGGTTACGCCATGTAATCTTTCCGGTCAACTTGCAGCGTTTTTAGGGAATTGTGCGTGCTTGGCGAGGGGGTTCCCTTCGAGGCGGTGCCGCTCAAGCTGACGCTCCCGCCCGCGACTGAAGATCAGCCTCCAAACTACATCCAGCACAACCTGATCCTCGTGCCGAAGTAAGGGTTTTTTGGGGGTCGGGGCAGGCTAGGCCAGCTAGCAGAAAACTTTGAGGAAGGCCATCTCCAGGTGGCACGCTCCCTTAAATGAATTTTTAGGCCAGGGCTTTTAAAATGAGCGCCTGGAGCTTAATTTTTTTGCAGGGCGGCCGGCCAGCTGACGCTGAACGGCTACAGCTGCCAGGTGTTCGGCCTGAAGAACGTGTGCAAGATGAGGGCCCCGAAACCGTTGACCGTACGTTGTTTTCAGTACTGCACCGTTAGCGGGGGGAGAAACGCTTTCTGTTTTTCCTCTTAAAAATCTCTGTTGATGGTCTATTTTTTATTTTATAGTGACGTCTTCCCCCCCCCCCCCGCTAACAGAACAGAACCGTTTTTGGGACTTTTTCCGGCCCCCTCCCACTAATGCGCATTCAGGTGGAGGTGCTCCCATCGCTGCCGCTGCTCTCCATCGTCTCCACGCTCCCGCGCGCACCCGTACTCGCCGAAGTTGACGGGGAACAGGGATTCGAGACGACCGTGTATAGTGGCCAAACGTCAGTTTTTCTTCCTCAAAAACCTCTGCTAGCTGAACCTGAAAATTCCCTTGTTTTCAGCTTCTCCCATTCGGTTACGCTAGTAAATGCGTCGCCCAAGATCGGGATACGCGACGTCAGGATTCAGGCATTTTTTTGCGCGTAAAAAGTGTATTTTTTTGCTTTCAGATTCGCCAGCCTCAAGTCAGCGGCGGCCCGTCGCTGATCCAGATCAAAAAAGCGCCCGCGGGAGATGAACTGGAGGTATCGCGGGTTTTAAAGGACCATTGAAGGCAAATCTAGGAATCGATAAAGCTCGCCCCGGAAGCCCGCCACCCGCTCGAGTTCACGATTTTCGGCGTCGACCCGACGGCCACCACCGATGACGACAAGCCGGGCAATCTGGACGAGTCGAGGGTAGGCTAGCAGAGACGGCTTAGGCCTGGGCGTGGTTTAGGCTTGGGCTTAGGCTTAGGCTTAGGCTTGGCTTAGGCTTGGGCTTAGGCGTAGGCTTAGGCTTAGGCTTGGGCTTGGGCTTGGGCTAAACCTAGCAAAGACGCTTTGTGGAACCCTTTTTTAGATCCCAGAAGCTTCTGCCCGCCCTCCTTCCCCATCGCCATCTACCATGTCGGAGCTGTCGTCAACCGGGGACCGGATACCCTACACCGGACGACTGCTGACGGCCCAATTCATCTTTGACTACACGGCCGACGTGGAGGGATCGCAGGGAGAGGTAGCACAGATTTTTGAGAAATGTCCGGCCGAAAAGCGGAAATTGGATAATGTCAAAATTCTAGAAAAATTGGTATTTTCTTGGAAATACGGATTTTTTTTATTTTTGCTAGATTTTTACATGTTGAAAAAGATTTCGATTTTTAAGAAATTGCTTCTTTTAATGGATTTTGGAAACACTGATTTTTGTGGTTTTTTAAATGGTTTTTTTGAAAAATGATGAAAAATTGGGAAAATGGGGGGGCAGCTGGCAGAGATTCTTTGAGGAATCGATTACGCCACCAAATCCTGATTTTCAGGTCTACTCCCGTACAGCCACCCTGCCGCTGGCCATCACCGTCGTACCAGCCGTCACCGTGGCCGCGTGGAGTGTCCTCCCCGGCGATGGCCCATTCACCAGGCAAGCTAGCAGAGACCGTTTTGGAATTTGTTCGTTTATAGGTACATTGTGGTGGACGTGTCGAACTCGACGGACGCCGACGCCGAGTTGGTGTTCTCCGGCTCGCGGGCGATGGGCGTCCCGCCGAGGGAGACGTGCAGGTATCCAGGGTGTCGCCGTCCCTTGAAAAATTGGATTCTAGGGTCCCACTGCTGTGCCCGTGTTGTACGCAGGTGGCCGGCCGGGCCTTCTACGCCGCCCAGCAGAAGGACAGCAAGGTCATGCAACGGTTCGTTTTTGCTCTAATGGTCTCGGCTAGCTCCCTAGCTGCCAAATTCCGCAAATTTTCTCTGCTAGCCTGCCCTAGACATCCGAAAATGGTTTTGCTAGCTGGTTTGCCCTAAAATTCTTCCAATTTTCTCTGCTAGCTTGCTTTAAATTCCGCAAATTCTCTCTGCTAGCCTGCCCTGAAATTCCGCAAATCGTCTCTGCTAGTTAGCCCTAAATTCTTCAAATCGTCTCTGCTAGCTGACGGCTAAATTCCGCAAATTCTCTCTGCTAGCTAGCCGCGACCCAGAAATTCCTCAAATGATCGCTGCTAGCTGATCTCAAAATTCCTCAAATGGTCTCTGCTAGCTGATCTCGAAATTCCGCAAACGATAGCTGCTAGCTTGCCCTAAATTCCTCAAATTCTCTCTGCTAGCTGGCCCCCCATTTCCGCAAATGGTCTCTGCTAGCCGACCCGTAATCCTCCCATTTTTCAGGCTCGAAATCGAACGTCTCCGCCAGGTGCTCGAGTCGCACGTCGCTGAACATCTCGGCATCCGGTGGTCGATCCCCAGCAAGGAGGTGCGTCCCGGGTTTCCACAAATTCTCTCTGATAGCCTGCCCTACCGAATTTCCTCGCGTAATCGATTACCGCGGATTTCCTAAATTCTCTTTGCTAGCCTGCCTTAGTGAATTTCATATCGTAATCCATTAAATTTGGAATTCCTAAATTTTCTCTGCTAGCCGCCCGCTTTTTCTAGCGTAATCGATTAAACGCCATTTAGGAACTCGCAAATACTCAAAAAACCCGGCAAGCTAGCAGAGACCATTTAGGAACTTTCAAAAACCCTGACAAGCTGGCAGAGACCATTTAGGAACGCTCATTTCGTTTCCCAAATTTCCCAAATGCGCTCTGCCAACCTGCCCCACCTATTTTCATGTCGTAATCAATTCTTTTTAGTTGGAAGGCCTGGTCCCAGTCGGAGCGCTCCTCTCCTCCGTGCCGCTCCTCAAACAGCTCGTGCTGCCCGCCATTTCGCTCGGTATCCTTCGATGGGCCTTTAAAACTCGTTTTTCTGCTTCAGAACTGGAAGTGAACGGGACGCCGTATCTGTCCCAAGACGACCTCGCCACCGCCATCAGTGACATGACGAGGATTCGCGTGTCCGTCATCTCGTCCCTCGATTGTCAGTCGATTTTTTGGATTCCTAAACGGTCTCTGCTAGCTTGCCAGGGTTTTTGAGGGTTCCCAAACGGTCTCTGCTAGCCTGCCGGGGGGTTCGAAAGTTCCCAAACGGTCTCTGCTAGCCGACCATCTTTTTTTACGATTCCTAAACGGTCTCTGCTAGCGTGCCCGGAATTTTGAGGATTCCTAAATCGCCTCTGCTGGCCTACGCGGGGTTTTGAAAGTTCCCAAACGGTCTCTGCTAGCCTGCTGGGGTTTTCGAAAATTCCTAAAAGTTCTCTGATAGCCGGCCATCTTTTTTACGATTCCTAAACGGTCTCTGCTAGCTTGCCAGGTTTTTTTAGAGTTCCTAGATGGTCTAAGCTCCCTGCTAGCTTGCCCCGGGTCTTTCAGGGTTCCTAAATGGTCTCTGCTAGCTTGCCTAACTCATTTTTTTGCAGACCAATTCCACGGCGAGCTGTCGCTGTGCTGCGAGCAAGAGCTGTCCTCCCGCGCCGAGCCCCTCCCTCGCCCGCATAATATGGTCATCGTCGGGTCGAGGAAGCAGCCGTTTACCGTACCACCGAAGGTAATTCTCTCTCTCTCTCTCTCCCTCTCTCTCTCGCTTCAAAGAATCTCTGCTAGATGCCCCTTTTACCCAAACACCGATTACGCCATGAAAAGATTTAACTTGCTTTATTTTGCGATCGATTACACTAAGAAAAGTTTTTTCTCTATGTTTCTCTCTCTCCCTCTCACTTTCTCTCCTCTCTAATCCCCTTTTTTCAGACAACCGACGAGCAAATCCCGGCTCCCCGTTGCGAGCTCACCTTCAACGTCCTCTTCCGCGTCGAGGGCGTCTACAAGGTACACATCCGGAAATCATCTCTGCTAGCCTGCCCCTCACCCCTCTTTTTCCAGGTACGCCCCGTGATCAAGGCCCTGCTGGGTGATCGTCTCCTTCCCGACGAGGTCTTCGCCTCGCCCATCTCCTTCAACGTGGCCTCGTCCAGATAACGGTACTTTACCTTCGCCAAGATAGCTTGGGCTTGGGCTTAGGCTTAGGCTGCTTAGAGCTTAGAGCTTAGACTTTTGAAATCGTACACAGTTTTTTGATGAAAAAAAACTCCGAAAAACGTGTAAAAAAGTTTTGGCTTTTTTGGCAAAACGCCATAAAATTCGGGGTAGTCTCGGGAAACCGATTACGCCATGAAATCCGCTGAATTTTACCCTTTTTCAGGCTCGCTCGTGCTCCATCTACGCCACCAAGTGCCCGGAGAAAACTGCCTTCCAGACGTATTGCCTTGAATTTCTCTATATCTCTGTCGCCTTCTCTCTCTCTCTCTCTATCTCTCTCTCTCGCTCGTTTTCTCTCGCCCTCTGCCCCGCTCCGCCGAAGCTGTGATATTTCTCCCGTGATTTCCGGATTTTTCTAGAGTTTTTCCCGATTTTTAAAGACCCCGCCCCGCATCCTCAATTTTGCCATAATACTTTCCCCAAAGACTCTCTGCTCAGTGGCCCATTTTTGAGCGCTGTTTTTGTTTGCGTGTTGATTTCCATTCGAAATTCCGGTCGTTGCGAGCATTTTCTTGTGTTTTCCGAGAGCTTTTACCCCCCGCAATTTTACACCGCCTTTGCCGAATAAATCTGAATTTTTGGGCGGAAATTGCAGGCTTGCCAAGTCGTACGCTGACCAAGAAATACCGAATTCGAAAAATGTCGTACTGTATTACAGTGGGGTTTTCCCGGCGAGAGAAAACGGAAAATAGCCCCTTTTTGCAGCTTTTAGCTTTTTTAGTTTATTAGATTTTTAGTTTCTTAGATTTTTTAGCTATTAACTTTTGGATTTTAGATTTTTTTTAGTTTATTAGATTTTTTGGTTTATTAGAATTTTTAGTTTCTTAGATTTTCAGCTTTCAGCTTCTTTTTTGTGTGCCATGAAAATAAAGAATGATACGCGCCATATTTTTTGTACGTTGATACACGTATCTTATACCCGGAGACCAGAGCCCCCTCCTCTTACTCAGTTTTATGCACCAAAAACGTGAAAAAAATTGGCCCCCATACAAATTCTCGAACTAGGGAAAAGACAGAGAACACAGACCCCATCGAGAAGCCGTGCTGCAGCGATTGCAAAAAAAAGCCAAAATAAATTCGGCTTCTTTCCATGTCGTGGAATCGCCGGAAGTGGAAGCCATCTGACGGGAGCAGATGGCTGAAAACTCGTAATAAATTGTTCGAAAAATGTCAGTGAGGCGGCAACACCGGATACGATATTGGCGTCAAAAAAGCTTTGGGGTTATGCAGTTTCCGCAAGTTGCCGGGCACACGTTCCTCCCTACAAAACTCGCCACAAACACCCATTTCCGCACCCCGCCGCGGGTTTTCGTTTCTTTTCCGGTAAACTGGTTGCCAGCCAACATTTCAATACCATAAACTTGGCATTTTCCCGATTCTAACAGGTTTGAATGCTTTTTTAGGGAGTATGGGTCGGCGGCCGATACCTCCAAAGTGCTAGAATTTCGCCATTTTGGCCTCGCGCTAATTTTTATCGATTGGTTTAGCTTTTCTGGCTGAAAACATGCCTAAAAACACGCCCAGTAGCTTCCTTGGGTCTTATTTGTGGTTATGCAGTTTTTGAGGCAGCCGGCTCCCGGTTTATATCTTTCCAAAACCGCTGTTAAAACTCATTTTGCTGTTTCTCTTTTTTTTTCTTCACGTAACTGCGAACTGGCTGCCAGCGAACATTTCAATACCATAAACATGCCTTGTCCGGCTTCTAAAGTGTTTTCGAATGCTTGTTTTAGTGAGCCGGGGTCGGCGGCCAATCACTTAAAAACGCTAGGATTTTCGCATTTTGGTCCCGCGCCCTTTTTTATCGATTGTTTTTGGTTTTGTGGATGAAAATACATCATAATATACTCCCGCCGCTTTTTTGGAGCTTTATTTGGGGGTTATGCAGTTACCGTAAGTTGCCGGGCGCACGTTCCTCCCTACAAAACTCGCCATAAAAACCCATTTCCGCCTCACGCCGGGGGTTTTCCTTTCTTTTCCGGCAAACTGGCTGCCAGCCAGCATTTCAATACCATAAACATAGTTTTTTCCTGATTCTGAAATGTTTGAATGCTTATTTTAGTGAGTTTGGCGTCGCGATCACCTAAAAACGTTAGAATTTCTCGGCTTCGGCCTCGCGCTCAATTTTTTCGATTGGTTTGGCTTTTGTGGTTTTGATTGGTTTTAACTCTTTTTTTTTCAGGGTACACCGCGGCGGGTCGGCCAGACGGGTCGGCGCGGCGGCGCGGTGAGCGGCACGGACAGGCGGGACGGCGCGGCGCGGCGACGCGGTTGGAGACCCGGTGGGCGAGACGTGAAGAACGGCGGCTGGCGCGATAAACAGGTTTTTCTTCGATTCTTTTCAAATATCCTTTTTTTTGGAAATGGACTCTTTCGCGTTTCGCATTTTGCTTTTAGATTTCAAAAAATAATGAAAAATTGACATTTTGAAATTTGAAAAAAATAAATTGAAAATTGAAATCGCCGTCAGCCTTCGGCTATTTTTGGGCCTAAAAAGTGTATTTTTTTGCTTTCAGATTCGCCGGCCCGAAGTCCGCGGCAGCCCCCCCTCCCTTCGGGATCCAGGATCATCAAGAATGCGCCGGCCGGAGATGGCCTGGAGGTATCGCGACTTTTAAAGGACTATTAATGGCAAATATAGGAGTCGATCAAGCCCCTCCCGAAAACCCGCCACTCGCTCGACTCGAGCACCACCACCGCGCACCTCCGATGAAGACAAGCCGGGCGAGATGGACGAGACGCCCGATGATCTACTTGCCGGTGAGGGCGCGTCGGGGAGCGGCTCTTTGATGATGAAGGTATGTGAGTTTTGCATGGTCTTCTTGGAAAATAAAAATACTTGATCACGCGATTCCGCAAATTTTCTCCGCTAGGGTAGACTTAGACGTAGGCTTGGGCTTAGGCTTAGGCTTAGGTTTAGGCTAGGCTTACGCTTGGGCTTACTATTAGGCTTGGGCTTAGGATAAGCCTTAGGTTTGGGCTCAGCTTAGGCTTAGACTTCGGCTTAGGCTTAGGTTCGTGCTCCTTTTTCCTAAGTTTTTTGCGATGGGAATTTCGAATTGAATTTGTCGAAAATCAGAATCCCGTCGAAATTTATATGCCGGGAAGGCATCTCTTTTAGACAACTCTAGAAAAAGAAGATTTCAATCAAACTCAATTGTTATAAAGCCAAATTTCCTCAAAATACGTTTGAAAAGTTGAAAAAATGGGTTTGAAAACTATTATTTCGGCATTCTAATTTTCGACAAAATCGAAACAATTTGTTAATTATTCGTCTAATTCGGTCGATTTACAGATAAACTCGGGACAAGACTCGTCTCGCCGGAACAGTTCTCACCGCCTAATGGATGTGCAATTTCCTCATCAGCACGAGCAACTCCCGCACTACCAATCGGCGGATTCCCTACTCGACCTCTGACAGAGCATCGGTGTTTTTTTTTAGGTACGTATTTCCGGTGTTTTTCTTCATTGTTGTCTCCGTTTTCAGGGGTTCCAACTGACCCCGCGGACACACCATGCTCGGGGCGAACCCGAGGCGAGCTAGGAGGAAGATGCTGAGCACGGGAGGATTCGGGCGGTTGAGCGCAGGTATGGATTTCCTGGTGCTTTCCCAATATCGGGGGGGGGGGCTTGGGTTTATGCTTAGGCTTAGGCTTAGGCTAGGCGTAGGCTTACTATTGGACTCAAGCTTAGGGTGAGGCTCAGGCTTAGGCTTGGGCTTGGCTTTGGCTTAGTCTTAAGCTTTGCGATTGGGGCTTAAAGCGGCTCTGGCAGCACACCGATTACGGCGTTTTGGGGACCGGGCAGAGACGCAGAGTTCTGTCTGCGTCTCTCCTCTGGGCGCGCTCTTTCTCTCCCTGCCGCGACGCACCCGACCGCGACGCTTCCAAGAGTCGTGGAAAAAGGGGCTTGCTGCCAGACGCCCTTTAAGCGTTGGCAGGGTTCGAAAAAATGGAGGAAAAATTTCCGAATTGCAACATTACCTGGCGTAATCAGTTTACCGTTTTCTTCTTTCAGGGTTTCGACGTGTAGCGGCATCGGGTCGTCGTCTTGGTCTACTTCTCTACCTGACACGCCCGATGATCTACTTGCCGGTGAGGGCGCGTCGGGGGTTCGGCTATTTGACGAGGTATGTGAGTTTTGCATGCTCTTCTTGGAAACTAAAAACACTTTGATCACGCCATCTAAGCGATTCCGCAAATTTTCTCCGCTAGTTTGCCTCTGGTTATCAGTGGTTCTCCGCTAAATTTTAAGCTAGGCGTAGGCTTAGTTTTGCAACATTACCTGGCGTAATCAGTTTACCGTTTCCTTCTTTCAGGTTTTGATGGGAGTCGTCTCGGGGGCGGCGACGCTGACACGTCCGATGATCTACTTGCCGGTGAGGGCGCGTCAGGGAGCGGCTCTTTGATGATGAAGGTATGGGAGTTTTACATGGTCTTCTTGGAAAATAAAAACACTTTGATTTGACACGCGATTCCGCAAATGCTTAGGTTTCACTAGGCTTACACTTGGGCTTGGGCTTAGGCTAGGATTAGGATAGGATTAGATAAAAATTACCTCGCGTAATCAGTTTACCGTTTTCTGCTTTCAGGGTCTCGACGTGTCGCGGCATCGCGTCGTTTCGGTGGGAGCGGCGTGGAGACGCCCGACCTACTTGCCGGGTCGGGCGTGTCAGGAAGCGGCTCTTTGATGATGAAGGTATGGGAGTTTTGCATGCTCTTCTTGGAAACTAAAAACGCTTTGATCACGCCATCTAAGCAATTCCGCAAATTTTCTCCGCTAGTTTGCCTCTAGTGGCAGTGGTTCTCCGCTAAATTTTAAGCTAGGCATTCTTAGGTTTGGGCTTAAACTTCGGCTTAGGCTAGGCTAGGCTTCCACTTGGGTTTGGGTTTACTATTAGTTGGACTTAGGCTTAGGTTAGGCGTCGGCTTCGCCTTAGTCTGAAGCTTTGAGACTGGGTTAAGCGTAGGCAGGGTTCGAGAAAATCGACGAAAAATTTCCGAATTTGCAACATTACCTGGCGTAATCAGTTTACCGTTTTCTTCTTTCAGGGCCTTGGCGGCTCGCAGACGGAGGAAGACACGTCCGATGATCTACTTGCCGGTGAGGGCGCGTCGGGGGTTCGGCTATTTGACTAGGTATGTGAGTTTTGCATGCTCTTCTTGGAAACTAAAAACACTTTGATCACGCGATTCCGCAAATTTTCTCCGCTAGTTTGCCTCTGGTTATCAGTGGTTCTCCGCTAAATTTTAAGCTGGACGTAGGCTTAGTTTTGCAACATTACCTGGCGTAATCAGTTTACCGTTTCCTTCTTTCAGGTTTTGATGGGAGTCGTCTCGGGGGCGGCGACGCTGACACGCCCGATGATCTACTTGCCGGTGAGGGCGTTTCAGGAAGCGGCACTATATCGAGGTATGTGAGTTTTGCATGGTCTTCTTGGAAAATAAAAAGACTTTGATTTGACACGAGATTCCGCAAATGCCTAGGCTTACAAGGGAACCACCTAAGGTCGAGGTGGCGTTTCGTTCTGGGACCCAGCCCATCTCGTGCAGAATTTTTCGCTGATTCCGAATCCGCTGCTCTTTTTTGCCAAATAGCTCGTTTTAAAAAGTTATAGCGCTTCAAAGTTCCATTTTTTCCCAAATTTGCCAACTTCAAAGCCATTTATTTTGCACTTCCCGGATGATTCATCAAATACGAATCTCGCCATCGTATTCAGAAAATTTTTCTCTATCGAGTGAGCTATTTAACTCAAAATTGTTGGAAATCGAAAAAATCGACGATACCAAGTATGGAGTTCGTTTTTTGTATGGGAAATGGTGAAAAACAGGCTATTTCACACTCCCATAAGTGATCATCGATAGGCAGTAGCGCAGTAGTCACATATACCATTCGAATCAGAAAAAAATTCTCTACAAGATAGGCTATTTAAAATTGATTGGCATATTAAAACAAAAAGTTGGGCATCGTGACAGATGATCGCTCGCGGGCTAAACGATGATCTTAAAATCGCCGTAACTTTTTAAATCGGGCTATTTGGCAAAAATTGAAAGCGGGTTCGGAATCAGCAAAAAATTCTGCACAAAATGGGCTGGGTCCCATAACGAAACGCCACCTCGACCTCGGGTGGTTCCCTTGTTAGGCTAGGCTTACACTTGGGCTTGGGCTTAGGCTAGGATTAGGCTTAGGCTTAGACATAAACTTTTAGACTGAGCCTTAGGCGTAGGTTGGGTTCGTAAAACTCTAGGAAAAAAAAACTTAAAAAAGCTAGCAAATCATTAGAAAAAAAATTACCTCGCGTAATCAGTTTACCGTTTTTTTGCTTTCAGGGTCTCGACGTGTCGCGGCATCGCGTCGTTTCGGTGGGAGCGGCGAGGAGACGCCCGACCTACTTGCCGGGTCGGGCGTGTCAGGAAGCGGCTCTTTGATGATGAAGGTATGGGAGTTTTGCATGCTATTCTTGGAAACTAAAAACGCTTTGATCACGCCATCTAAGCAATTCCGCAAATTTTCTCCGCTAGTTTGCCTCTGGTTATCAGTGGTTCTCCGCCAAATTTTAAGCTAGGCATGCTTAGGTTTGGGCTTAGACTTCGGCTTAGGCTTAGGCTAGGCTTACACTTGGGTTTGGGCTTACTATTAGTTGGACTTAGGCTTAGGTTAGGCGTCGGCTTCGCCTTAGTCTGAAGCTTTGAGACTGGGTTAAGCGTAGGCAGGGTTCGAGAAAATCGACGAAAAATTTCCGAATTTGCAACATTACCTGGCGTAATCAGTTTACCGTTTTCTTCTTTCAGGGCCTTGGCGGCTCGCAGACGAAGGAAGACACGTCCGATGAACTACTGGTCGGGGAGGACGGGTCAGCAGGATGCGGCTCTTGGACAAGGTATGTGAGTTTTGCATGGTCTTCTTGGAAACTAAAAACGCTTTGATCACGCCATTTAAGCAATTCCGCAAATTTTCTCCGCTAGTTTGCCTCTAGTAGCAGTGGTTCTCCGCTAAATTTTAAGCTAGGCTTAGGCTTACACTTAGGCTTAGGCCTAGGCTTAGGTTTAGGCTTACGCTTGGGCGTAGGCTTTTAGGCTTAGACTTGGGTAATACCTGGGGGTAATCAGTTTAACGTTTCTTTTTTCAGTGGCGGCGACAGAGAGCGGCTGAAGGCGACGACGGCCGGCTCGAGGGCCCCCACGCGCGTGCCAACCTACTTGCCGGGTTGGCACGTCCCAGCGCATGGTGGGCGAGTTCGAGGTGTGTGGCTGTTACTTGAACGGCTCGATAGTTAGCCAAAATTGTTTGAATGCGCCCCCTCCCGCCCCCGAAAATGCATAATAGAAGGGAACTTGCTTGTAAGACATTCTGCCAATCGCCGAGTTTAACCAACCAACCCCCCGCACCCACGCCCAACCGAGACGTTTAAAGAACCGTCAAAGGTAAAATAGATTTCCGCTCCTGTAGCATTATCGTAAAAAACCTTAAACATTTTTGTCGTCAAAATTCCCGCAAAAATACCGATTTTTCGGGCGAAAAAATGTGGTTTTTGAGAAATATTCGGCTATTTTCGTTGGGATCCAATTTTCTCTTTTTTTTTGGATAGAGGCCATGTTTCTACACTGTTTTTTTACTAATTCTAAACGTAAAAACTTGCGAACAATGACTAAAACACCAAAAAATATTTTTTTTGCTCAAAACGGCTGATTTTCGAGGGTGATTCAAATTTTTAAGCATTTTAAACTTTTCGGAATCGTGTTCTAGGTACGGCGTTAAAAGGACACCTTTGGTCACTTTTTGCACTGCCGAAATCGTTCTGACTAAACTTCTCTTTTCCGTTAGCGTTGGTGTCGCGCTGGGCGGTGGGTGCACAGGGTTTGGGTGTCCATAGTCGTAGCGCGCACTGACTGGGGCCGCCTGCTCGTTTTTGCGGAATTTTTAAATAGGCGTTCCCAGGCTCGGCGTTTCTCCGTTTCACTGTTTTTGGCTTGATTTCATTATGATACGATCTTTTTTAGTTCAACAACATGAGCTACCTCTTGGATCAAGACTGCTCCTTCGTCGTTATGGCCTTCCGGCTGAAAGGAGTCGTCCCCACCGTGGAGCAGCTGATGGATGTCTGCAACCTGATGGGGTTAGGGGATATTGCACCGCGCGTCGAGCAGATTCTGGGACTTCCCATCGGTAAATTTTATATTTCTTTTTGGCATTTTCATTTTCAGTAGTACTGCCTCGCCCCGTTGTCGAAGAAGCGTTAGCCGCGATCCTGCGCCGAAGACTGAGATGGCAGAAGCACATTTGCGACAAAGTCGAGGAAGAGCTTGGATGTTCCCTCCCGAAAAACCAGGCAAGTTGTTTTAGAAAAATGTTTGAAATTTACCAGCTACCTTTTAAATGTGACATTTAGGTTCTCCCGTCGATCTCGGCCGGAAACTCGTCGGCGAGCTCTGAAGACTCAACGTTCGGTGCCTGAGATCATAACCATATTGATTTGTCTTCGTGTTTGTTACGTTGTTTTTTAAATTCTTGCGATAAATACTTTGTACTGACCTGGTTTGTTATTCGGATATCGGCGACCTTAATTCGCTTCTTATCGTTGATACTTTTTGATCTTGACATCTTCGTGCGCAAATGTGCCTTTCGTTGACGCATTTTTAGGCTAATTTCATGGATTGTATGCTTTTTACCGCTTTCTTAATGCAAAATAGCTTCATTTTTGATATTTTTTTGGCGTTTTGGAACTCGCCGACTTCTTCGAGACGTTTTTCGGCTAACTAAACTTTCTTGGACGTTTCTAACGTCTATTTAGAGTCTGAAATCGTGCCAGGTGGTTTTTGGGCTTTAGAACTAGTTTTTTGCGCCTTTAGCGAGTTTTTAATGCTTTTTTTTTGCCTAGGAAATGGTGGTATAATATTTTTTCTACTTTCTCTTGCTTCTCTTTTGTTTGTCTCCCAATTCCGCCCCGAATTTTGCGCGTTTACTAGCGATTACCACCTGCTGCATCGTCTGGACCGCTCGGGGTGAGGAGGAGGCGATGGTGTTGATGCTTCTGGGTGTCGTGCTTCGGTTTTTACGGCATTTTCTAAGGCCCCTTTTACCCAAATTCGGATTTCGGGCGCCTCTGAGGCCTAAATTCGACGCTGCTGGGCTTTCTGAAATCTTTTCTAACGCTTTTGCAACTGATTTTCGGCTTTCCGGACTTTCTGCACGTTTCTCTAACAATTTCCGCCTCTAAAATGCGTGCAGCCAGTTTTTTCTGAGTTTTCAAGTTTTAAAAGCTCCAGGAAACGCTAGAATCGACCCGCTGACGGCCACTACATCTCGACATTTTCGAGAGGCTGCAAAATTCGGGACTTTCGTCGTCGTCTGGCCCTTCCGGGGTGTAGAGTCTGGCGGTTTCCGGCGATTTGTATTTTGTATGGATTTTATAGCACTTTTTTGTAGCTGGTAGTCTGTGGTTTTTGGTGTTGGTGAGGGGGTTTTGTAGCTTGTATCTCGTCCTGCTTTTTCTAATGAGTTTGTATTCTGTAGTCGGTGTTTTCGAGGGGTTACTGAAGAGTTTTGTAGCGTGTAGCTCGTATTTTTAGGAGTTTCTAGCATTTTTTTAGCTTTTCGCCTGTAGTTTATGGTTTTTTATAATGAGTTTTGTTGGCTTTAGCCTGTAGCTTGTAGTTTATGGTTTTCTCGTCGTTTTTGGCTTGTAGTCTGCGGTTTAAAGATTTTTGATTTTTTAGTAGTTTTTCGCGTTGTTTCCGGGGTTTCCTGCGGCTTGGAGATATGGTTTTTAGCTGGTTTTTCTTCGGGACCTAAAATAGGTTGCCCACGTCTTAATTTCATTCAATAGTAGCATTATTGTTTTGATGTTTAAATTTAAAACCGATCCAAATTGACTTTTTACACTTTTGGTGTTTGGAATGTCCAAAAAAAGTATCGCTTTAAAAATGTTCAATCCATTTTTGAAGCAATAATTGTTTTTTTTTAATTAAGGAGATTGTTAGTTTTAATGTTTTTCCTATTAATTCGGTTCATGTAAACCTTAGAAAAATTAGAATTTTCGCAATTTTAACTAATTTAAATGCGCTGTTATAAAATTTTATCTGCTCATTTATATAAAAATTTGGAAATGCTGGGTTTTTTGAAGGATTTATTGCAGGGTTTTTTTGAATGATTAAATTTCGGACTGTAAACGGCACTGTACTGTTAGCGGGGGTAGGGGAGGGAAAGTCTACATGAGCCTATTGGGAAAGGGAAAAGGAGAATGGGCCTGGCCTCCCCCCCCTCCGCTAACGATCCAGTACCGTTCTAGACCAGATTTTTGCGGGAAACTATCAGAATCTCGAAAATATGTACTCTTTTCCCATGAAAAGTCAGGAAGCCGCCGGCCAACACCTCTCTGCCTAAAAAAAGTGTATTTGGTCTGGATTTTCGAGATTCTGAAGCAAAAATTCTGCGAGGGGCACTCAGCCCCGATCTTTTCCGTCTCATTCCACCCGATTCCCACCAACCTCCAGGGCGACTTCTCACATGTTCCTCTCCGCCTCGTGCGACTGGAGCGTCAAGTTGTGGAGCGTTAAGGTATACCGGGCAGTTTTCGATTTCCCGAATTGTCTCTACTAGCTGGCCAGAGCGTGGTTTTCGACTCCAAAATGATCTCTGCTCGCTTGCTCAGGCTGATTTTGCAAATTCCGAAATGGCCTCTACTAGATTGCGCTTATTTTTTACCTCGAAAATTCTCGAAGAATCTCTGCTAGATTTCCCCAACTTTTTAGTTGCGATATTCCCTAGGGATCGCGGCTAGCTGGCTGGGGCCGATTTTTCGATTTCCTGAAGGGTCTCTTCTAGATTGCCCTTGTTTGATCTCCAAAAATTCCTGAGAATCACTGAGATTCCCTCCACTAAACGTATTAAAGTCTATTGGCTTTGTTTTCATTTTGTTTTCTTTATTTTCTAATAGTTTTATTATTGCTAAGCTCTTCGTATTTATATGGCGTGTTCGGGGGCTGTTTGCTAAAATGTTGACCCGCGGCCCGGTGCCCGCCTGTGTTTTCTGCATGCCGGTCCCCCCCCACCACTACCACTATTAGTTAGGCTTGTGTGCATGAGCTTTCTCGTCTCTCACTCTCTGCGTCTCCGACTCTCACTATCCGTCTGCGTCTCTGCGATTTTCTCTGGTCTTTTTCTCTGCGGCTCCCTATCACTTTCCGGCGTCCGTAAACTTTACTATTCGGCGATTGCTCAGTTTCACCCACCCCCACCTCCTCCTTTTTTTCGCTGGCCTCTCTTTCTGCAGACCGTAAATAAAGACATTTTAAACGAACCGAAAGCTAACAAGGGGGAAAATAGTTTTGGCACAAAAATTAGCAAAGTTTTGAAAAACTAGACCGTTTGCTCGAAAAATCGATATTTTTATGTCTACTTTGTATATATAGACAAGAATTCTCAAAATTATATAGCAAAAATTAGTTGTATTTATATTTTTTTAACAAAAATTGCCAGCTCCCTGCGTTTGAGAATCGTAAAACAATCAGTTTCCAAAACACTTGCTCTATTTATCCGCAAAAAAAAAACTATTATTCAAGCTCTGTTCCTTCGTTTATGCCAGATGCGGGGGATTGGGCGCCGCGAATGGGGGGATGTGGCGCGTGTTCAAACGCAAGAAGTCCATTATTCCCTGGCCGGTCCTTCGCTTCCGCTTCCTGAGCCCGGTCGTATCTATTTCGGAAGTTTTAGGGTTTGGATTTGGGGAAACCGGTTTCCGATCCCTCGCTTCGCATGATCCATCCGATTAAACTTGGTCATGCTCAAAACTGGGATGTCGCTCAAAAACGTCTCCTTGTTAGCGTAGAGGTCAAAAAGTCAAAAAAATGTTGATTTTACGCTGGTTTCGATAATTAACATACGACGTTCTGAAATCCTTTTTTGAAAGAAACGTTTGGAAATCAGACCCTTCCGCAACTTGCGAAAACATATTCGGAATCAGCGCGAAATTCCGCACAAGACAGGCTGTGGGTCCCGAATCGAATTCCCCGCCTTGGTGAAAACCCTCTAAAGCCATGTGACATTTTGGCCAAAAATCGGCCATATGGCCGAAATCGATAACTTTTGTATTTTTTAGTCAAATCTGTAACGTTCGGATGGTTGGCGTGCAATTTGCGTATGCGAAATTGCCGGATTGTGTGCAGCGTCTCGTCCACGATCATCTAGAGTTTCGGGACAAGCGCCGTCTGCGAAGAACCACCCAGGTAGACCATCAATGACCATCCACCCTCCCCCCCCCCCTCTACTATTTCGTTGCGTAATCGGTGCAAGGCTAGATTCTAGGAGCGGCGATCGGCTTCCTGGCTGCCAGTTACTCGAGACCGCAAGTTGGAGCAAAAAGCAAAAGCCCCTACGCGGCGGGGAGTCGAACCCGGGTCACCAGATTGGCAGCCGCCGCTAGTCACTTGGCCAAATGCCGGGGCGTTTTTCCTGGCCGCCATTTGGAACAAAATTCTGGCGCACCATGCCGGTTCTGCGCAGCCTTTTTCCACGCAATTGCAGCGATTTGCGAGATTGCCGGCCGCGGCGTTCCTCATCGACGGGCGCTACGAGAATATTCGCTGCCGCACCGAGCCGGTAAGCCATTTACAAGGGTTTTTTTGCGGTCTGTGCAGTCGTCTTTGCTAATTTTTGCGGTTCTTTCGCATTAACGGGGGGCGGAAGGAGGAAACGGGGATGGGTCAGCAACTCGAAAATTAGACTCGTAGATGGTTTTTTCCCGATTCCTAAGCGTCAAATCTGTACAAAATTTTAGGGAAAATGCCAAAACTCTCGATTTTTCGACGAAAAATGGCCGATTTTTGGCCAACTTTTTGTCCTAGAGTTTCTTAACAAATAGCGTATACGTCTGCGTATTGTTTTGCCCGATCCGCGGGTATAAAAAGGTTACACATTTTATTCAAAAAAAAATGATATTAGGCCGAAAAATTGAGTTGTTTCGTCTCGAAATGATCAAATTTTCGACCTGGCCAAACGATTTTCAAACTTTTTTTTGACAGTTTTTCGACTCTAAGTGTAGTTGAAAACGTATTAAACACAATGTAGAAACACTTGATATCCAATTAAGGACCGCCAGGGAAAAAGTTGGTCCCCCCCCCCGATAATGCGAAAGAACCGGATTTTATAAGCACATTTGTTTACAGTCATTTCCGGGCGGGATCCAACGGGACGCCGGCATGCTGCTGTTCATTTTTAATAGGACACCCGAGTTGCCATCAATTAGCGTCAGCGTTTCGCTCGACAGGGAAGGAACTATAGACCGAGACTTTTCATTGGCATACAGCGAAACCCGCTCGGTCGATGCCCCACCAGGAGAGGATTCCTACGAGCGGAACATTACCCTCAGGTAATTCTCACGATCTCTCTCTCTCTCTCTCCCGCTCTCTCCCGCTCTCTCTCTCTCTTTCTCTCTCCCGCTCTCTCCCGCTCTCTCTCTCCCGCTCTCTCTCTCCCGCTCTCCCGCTCTCTCTCTTTCTCTCTCCCGCTCTCTCTCTTTCTCTCTCTCTCCCGCTCTCTCCCGCTCTCTCTCGCGCTCTCTCCCGCTCTCTCTCTATCCCTCTCTATCCCTCTCTATCGCTTTCTCTCTCCCGCTCTCTCTCACCCTCTATTTTTCCGGGTTGTCTCGCCGGCTAAGCCTCCCCTTTTTGTTGTAGAATGCCCGGAGGCAGCGATGCGCAATCTCGATTGCTCGACAAATTGACGCGTGGCGTTCGATGTCGTGAATTCTACCCGGCACAGGTATGTGGAAGGCGGAGGGATTCCGGAATGTTTTTGGTACCTTAGGCTCCACCGCAACTTACCGCGTTGCCCATGTTTTGTCGCGGGAATCTGGCAATACATCCGGAATTGGGGCCTGAGACTAGGTTGGGAGAGAGGTGAGCGAGAGAGAGAGAGAGAGGGACAGAGAGAGAGAGAGAGAGAGAGAGAGGGGTGTGCGAGAGAGAATTTACAGGTATTTCGAGATGGATTCTTGGATGTGGCCTGGATTGAAGCCCGATCAGGTAGACGGTCCTCAATTAGCTGTCGTGCACCGTTAGGGAACGTCGAGCAAAGGAAGACAACTTTTCAGGCGTATCTCTTCTCGCGAGATCTACGACCCGAAGAATATCTCGACATCTATTTGGATGCATTCCAAAAGGTAGGGCCTCTCTCACACCCTCTCTCGCTCTCTCTCACTCTCTCGCTCTCTCACACCCTATCTCGCTCTATCTCACTCTCTCGCTCTCTCACACCCTATCTCGCTCTATCTCACTCTCTCTCGCTCTATCTCGCTCTCTCTCCCGCTCTATCTCACACCTCTAGCTCTCTCTCTCTCTCGCTCTCTCTCACGCTCTCACACCCTCTCTCGCTCTCTCTCACTCTCTCGCTCTCTCACACCCTATCTCGCTCTATCTCACTCTCTCGCTCTCTCACACCCTATCTCGCTCTATCTCACTCTCTCTCGCTCTATCTCGCTCTCTCTCACTCTCTCTCGCTCTATCTCACACTCTCTAGCTCTCTCTCTCTCTCGCTCTCTCTCACGCTCTCACACCCTCTCTCGCTCTCTCTCACTCTCTCGCTCTCTCTCGCTCTCTTTCACTCTCTCTCACTCTCTCTCGCTCTATTTCACTCTCTCTCCCTCTCTCTCTCTCGCTCTCTCTCGCTCTCTCTCGCTCTATCTCACTCTCTCTCGCTCTATCTCACTCTCTCTCACTCTCTCTATCTATCTTTTTCTCTCTATCTCTCTCTGGCTTTCTGACTGCCAGATAGCCAATTCCAAAAGTTTGGAGCAATAAGCAATCGTTGCCGAGGCCGGGAGTCGAACCCGGGTGGTCAGATTGGCGGGCCGGCCCACTAACCACTTGACCACCGGTTTCGGTTGTGCTATTTTTTCTGTTTTTCAGTTGATCAACTGCCCGGTGGTGCGTCTGATGCAATGCTATGAAAATGAGGCGGAATGTATCGCCGCTCTACCGACCATTCAGCAACTATTCGAAGCTATTATTCAAGCGGTAGGCCCGGCTGATAATTTGTCGATCAAGACGAGAGATTATAGCCGAGGATCGAGAGGGAAGATGGACGTCGTCTGGTCATTGTTGACATACAGAGACGCGGCCAAGAATTCCATATGAAAGGAAAGACGAGGATTTGGGATAAGGTGCTTTCGCTGGCTTCGGCTTAGGCTTAGGCTTAGGCTTGTCTTGGGCTTAGGCTTAGGCTTAGGCTTAGGCTTAGGCTTAGGCTTAGGCTTCATTTGAGCAACCAATCAACAACCAGCAGAGATTTTTGAGGATTTGTCACGGCAAGCATGCAGGATGTTTTCAAGATTTTCCGGGGCCGGCTAGCAGCGACCCTTGGGGAAATGAGGAGGTGTAGCAAAGATTGTTGAGGAATTACGGGGTAGGCTAGCAGGGATTTTTGAGGATTTTCCAGAGCATTCTAGCAGAGATTCTTGACGATTTTAGGGGGACGTAGCACGGATCATTGCGGATTTTGACGAAGCACTAGCAGGGATTCTTAGGGATTTTCGAAGGCCAGCTGGCGGAGATCATTGCGGAATCGAGGGGCAAGCTAGCAGAGATTCTTTGAAAGCCATTTGAGCTCCAGGAATCGAAGGAACGGCTGGGGCGATTGGCGGGAGTTGTGTTCCCCTAGGCTACAAACTACTTAAATTACAAACTTAGGCTTAGGCTTAGGCCTATTTTCGACCAAAATTTCGCCAAAAAACCCGACTTTTGGCGGTTTTAATGGTTTTTGCATATAAAATCTAGTCAAACTGCACCAAAAACTCGATTAGAGGTTCTTATTAATTATTACGATTACCGGCAAGCCATCAGAAACTAGCAAAAAAATGACCAGGTGGAGATGCCCGAGCTGGCTGCCAAATATGCAACAATGATGAAGGCTGTACGTGCGGTGATGGACAGTCGACAGCCAAATGATGTTCAGGTAACAAGATAGGGAGAGCAGAGAGAGAGAAAGAGAGAGAGAGAGAGAGAGAGAGAGAGAGAGCGAGAGAGAGAGAGAAATCATTGCCATTTCCAGCTGTACCAAGCCGATCTGCCAAGCCCTCGGATCTACTACACCGTCCCTCGCACTCCAACCACGGCCAATTTGATTATCGCCCAGAACTACGCGTCGCCATGGCAGGTCTACGCACAGATATTACAGTCGAATACGGTACGTTTCTCTCTCTCTCTCTCTCTCTCTCTCTCTCTCTCTCTCTCTCTCGCTTCCTGACCGCCAATTAGCCGCTTCTAAAAGTTTCGAGCAAAAGCAAAAAGTCTGCCGCGGCCGGGGTTGAACCCGGGTCGTCAAATTTGAAGGCAAGTCTACTAACCACTTGGCCACGATGGTCAGCACCAATTCCTTTGATCAATTGATTCTTTGTGTGTTTTTTTTGCTCATTCCCATCCCTTATTTTTCTTCAGAGGGACCGCAATGAGACGATGCCGCCACTGCGCCGCCTGTGGCCACGCCCAACCGATGACGCCATGTAAATGAGAATTGACGGGCCATGCTGTGATTTCCATTTGTTGTTTTTATCGTTAATGTTAAGCGATTTTGCATAAATTTTGTACCTCCTGAAAGGCATCCAAATCATCGAGTTTCATGACGTAATCGATTGTAAAAAGCCTATTTTCGGGGACGGAATCTGCTTTCTCTTCTTTTTGGCGCATGAAATTGGCCGGCGGCCGACCTACCGTACCGTCCCCCCCCCCGCCCAGGGATCCAGGCAGCCTGGCTTTTTCTGAAGCTCGTGTTGACTACAAATCTGCTTCTCGCCCCGAATTTCCGGTCGAATCGCCAAAAAAACGCATCTCGCGATTGCCGGAATACGGTACTTTTTGTGTTTTCCATAGGGCAGGCTAGCAGGGATTCTTGGGGAATTGGAGGGGCAGGCTAGCAGAGATCCTTGCGGAAATGGAGGGGCAGGCTGGCAGAGATTCTGGGGCAGGCAGCAGAGATCCTTGCGGAAATGGAGGGGCAGGCTAGCAGGGATTCTTTGATCGTCGACTCCCCAAATTACCACCTGCCCCCCCCCGGTGATTACCGCTCAGCACCGTGTGGTTACGGTAGTCTATCCATCGTGGAATATGGTTGCTAGGAGACGGCTATTTGAGTGGCCAACGGGGGGGGGGGGATCCGGGCCACAGGGGGTATAATCCCTTGATTGGCCCCTCAAAGGGGTTTCCAGACCGCGCAGGTGTAGCTAGCACACAAGCGTAGTGCCTGGGGCCAGCTAGCAGGGATTCTTTGGGGAGCTGGAGAGGAGGTTGGGCTTAGGCTTTGGCTTTATGTTTAAGCTGAGGCTTAGGGTTTAGGCTTAGGCTCAGGCTTAGGCTTAGGCTTGGCTTAGGCTTAGGTTTTGGCTTGGGCTTAGGCAAGCTAGCAGAGATTCTTCAGGAGCGGAAACCCTCTATTTCCCTGGCCTAATCGTGTGTCTTGTAGTCTATAGCCGCCCATTGGCATCCGGCCAGCCATGGAGAGAGGGCGAGAGTGAGAGGCCGGGAAACGGGAGAGTCCAGTGAAATCAGGGTGGATAGACGGGGCGCCATGCCAAGGGGAGGCGGAGCTTGCGGGAGAGAGAGAGAGAGAGAGAGAGAGAGAGACAGAGGGGGAGTGGGGGGGTCCTGCCCCGGCACTCGGTCCCTTTGGCGCGCACATTCATTCCCACCCCCTTGCCCCGGCCAGCCAGCCAGCCAGCCAGCCAGCAGCAGCTCTCTCTGCTCTGCGTCTCTCTCTCTCTCTCTCTCTCTCTCTCTCTCTCTCGCCTTTTTCTGTGCTTTTTTTTGGGGGGCGCCGCAGCACACACACAGAGCGAGCGATAGACGAACGAATTTTTTGACGCCGCCCCAGCCAGGACTGTCGCTTTTCGCCCGGTGAGTTTTTGAAGGCTTTCCCTGGCCTTTCTGCCGCTTTTTGACGGTTTTCAAGATCGAGGGGATTTTTGGCAATTTTCCAGCGATTGCGAAATCGAGTTTTTTTTCGATTCCGGGCTTCTATCGCCCTTTAAAAGCGATTTTTTTGACGAATTCCTGTATTTTCTGGGCCTCTTTGACCATTTTGAGGCCCTGGCAATTTTCCACCGATTGCGAAATCGCATTTTTGGCTTCTACGGCCCTTTAAAAGCACGAGACCCCGAGTTTTGCTCGTCTTAGCAGCGTTTTTGGGGACTTTTCTACCGCTTTCCAGGTAGATTTTCGGCTTCTGCGGTCCTTTAAAGGGCGCACGAGAATTTCTTGCCGATTTCTACGGATTTCTAGCCCTACCGCGTCATTTGGAGCATTACGAAATCGCCACACCTAGCGGCGATTGTTTATAATTTTTTTTCGGACGTTTCTGGCAGCCAGCCAAGAGGAATTCTAGAAAATTTGGGTTTCCTAAAGAATCCCTGCTAGTTGGCCCCCGAGAATGGGGAAACGCCGAAATCCCGACCAAAAAAACCCGAAAACTAAAATGCCGACAACGAAAATCCACGCAGAGAAAATGTGGACAGCCAAAATGCCGACAACTAAAATCCCGACATCCAAAATGCCGACAACTAAAAGATTTAGTCGTACTCGTAGAACTCGAAATTTCAGTTGTCGGGATTTCGGCTTTCGGGATTCTGGCTATCGGCATTTTGGCAGATCGGATTTGGGTCTGTCGGCATTCTGCTTATCGCTCTTTTTTGTCGGCATTTTGCCTTGACGGGATTTTCGCATTTCGGCATTTTGGTTGTCGGCATTTCAGTTGTCGGCATTTCGGCTGTCGGTATTTTGCCTTGTCGGCATCCCCCAAAAATCCCCATAATCCCAAATTCCGTCCTAAAAGATCTCTGCTAGCCTGCCCCTTTGCCCGCTTTGTCCCGGATCCATCTCCGCGGATTTCACGAAAGAAAGGGCCGTTCCTCTCCCCCCAAATCCCCCCGGTTTTCCGCCGTCCGTTCTTTGTCCACGCGCGGAATGGCGCGTCCCTTTTTTTGGAGCGCTCTGACAAAGACGGGATGCCCTTTCCCCCCGATTTTCGGAGGCATGCTAGCAGAGATTCTTTGGGAAAGGGGGTTTGCTTTTGGGGTTTTGGCTGGGCTTGGGTTGGGGTTGAGGCTTGGGCTTGGGTAGGGATTTTGGGGGGTGGGGGGTTTGGTGTGGGTTTGTCTTGGCTTGGGTAGGTTTAGACTGGATAGATTTGGGTACGCTGAGGATTTTGGCTTGGTAGGAACAGGAACTTGTTTAACGATTTTAGGGGGACGTAGCACAGATCATTGCGGATTTTTAGGAAGATCTAGCAGGAATTCCTAGGATTTTGAAGGCGAGCTGGCGGAGATCATTGCGGAATCGAGGGGCAAGCTAGCAGAGATTCTTTGAGACCCATTCTCCAGAAATCGCGCGAACGGCTGGGGCGATTGGCGGGAGTTGTGTTCCCCTAGGCTACAAACTACATCGGCACTCCCCCCTCGACCCGGGCGGCCCCCACTTTTTATGATGACGTTTGCTAAGGCGGGTGCTCGGTTTCTTTTGAATGTACAGCGTTTTTAATGCAATTTTCGCTCAAGTTTAGGCTTAGGCGAGGCCTGTCCTTAGGCTTAGGCTTAGGCTTAGGCTTAGGCTTAGGCTTAGGCTTAGGCTTAGGCTTAGGCTTAGGCTTAGGCTTAGGCTTAGGCTTAGGCTTAGGCTTAGGCTTAGGCTTAGGCTTAGGCTTAGGCTTAGGCTTAGGCTTAGGCTTAGGCTTAGGCTTAGGCTTAGGCTTAGGCTTAGGCTTAGGCTTAGGCTTAGGCTTAGGCTTAGGCTTAGGCTTAGAGGTCGACCATGGAAATTGGCCAGATCGATAGGCTTACCCAATTTTTTTTTCCGTTTCGCGAGAAGTTGAGGATTTTAGCGCTCTCCTGGACACAGTTTTTTCTAAACATTTTCCAGTTTTTTAAATTGTTATAACAATTCCTATAAAGTAAAATTTTGATACCTATAGACGTCAATTTTAGCACATTATTTGGTTCCAGGCGTTTTGGCGCTCATTTTCAGCCCCACTGAAGCTGCTTGGCCCCTTTTTCGGCCATTTTCGATGCCTGACCGCCCTATGAACTTTCAAAACCAAAAAACAGCGCAATGTCCGTTAATTTTCCACTTTTATTGCCTTTTTTGGTTGTAAAGTTTCCGATTTTTGGCCTCGTTGAGCCCGGGGGCAACGTAGCGCGCCAATGCACAGCACCAATTTGGTCGCGTAAGCGTTCTTCCAAACCCCGATTTTTGACGGAAATCGAATTTTTAACGTTCATAATAAATTTTTGTATATATTTTTATGCGATTTTAGTTGTAAAATATAGTTTGAAGGATCGACTGCGCTTTCTGAGCAGTTTTGCGCGTTTTTTTGGCTTTTTTCTTGACGAGTTTTGAGCAGTAAAACATGATTTTTAGGATTCCGGCATTTTTACCCGATTTTTGTGATTTCCAAGTAGAATTTCATAGTATTTCTCTTGTTGAAAAGTGGCGCCTGCGTTTTCTAGCGCTGTATAGTGAGTTTAGAAGCTTTTTGGAACGTTTTCAGGCGTTGCAAAAGCGGAAACTTGCTTTTTTTGGCTTATTGGCTTCGTTGCGACGTTTTAAAGCACTTTCTAGGTTTAAAGACTTAGTTTATTGGTTAGTTCTAATTTCTGGGTTTTCTAGCGTTGAAAAATTAATCAAAAAGTTTGTTTTGAATGCTTTTAGGGTTAGAAAAGTAATCAATTGTTTGTTTCCGCTTATTCGCTTCGTTTCGATCTTTTGGAGGCACTTTTCTAACTTTTAAAACTTTGTTTATTGGCTAGTTTGCCATGTCTACGTTTTCTAGCGTTAAACAGTTCGGCCAAACGTGTTTCTTTTGAGCGATTTTAGGGTTAGAAAAAGTGGGAAGTTTTTTTGGTTTGTTCTCTGCGTTTCGATCTTTTCAAGAATTTCTCTAGCTTTTAAAACTTCCTCTATCCGTTTTTTTTACAGGAATTCGATTCCGCGAGAGCGTCTCCTTCTAGCCGCCAACCATTGGTCCCCACTTCTTTAATGCACAATTGCCGATGCGATGCCCCACGAGTCTGAGCCAGCCGCGAAGACCAGGACTCGGTACGCTTTTCCGCAAATTGTCTCGGCTAGCTGGCCACCAGCTGCTAGCGACAAGCTTTTATAACCCGCTTTTTCAGATGACAAGAAGAAGCACAAATCCAAGAAGGCGAAGAGCGTCGCGTTCGCCTGCCCGGCCAGCCCGCCGCCACCGCTCGCCGCCGCTGGCCCACCGCTTCCGGATGGCGCCGCGGAATGCGCAAAGCGCGCGATGGCGCTCGCCTGTGCGGCGCTTGTTGGTGCGTTTTTGTTTTGTAAAAAATCTCTGCTAGGCTGCCTCTGCCTTCAAATTCCCCCAAAAAATCGCCCCCAAATAACCAATAATATAAATTTTAATTTTTCCAATTAATATTCAATAAAAATATAAAAATCAAATTCAAATTTTTAAAAATTATTTTTCAAAATCATATTTTTATTTTAAAAAGTAATAAATTAAATTAATTATAAAAAAATTTAAAAAAAATTATATTAAAATTAATTAGAAAATTATCCCTATAAAAAAAGCCCCCAATCTGCTAGCCTGCCCTCATAATCCCCTCCTTTTCAGACAACCTCGGCTTCACCCACTGCCAGGGCTCCTCCCTCGACACGCTCTCCTCGCTGTCGATCCGCTTCCTCGAGACCTTCTGCCTCAAGCTGCACAACATCACCGAGCAGGGCGGCCGCACCCAGTCGACCATCTTCGACGCCGAGGAGGCCTTCCACGAAATGAAGGGCATCGAGATGGAGACGTCGGCCTATGTCAACGCCACCCTTCAGACAGCCGTCAAAAGGACCGTGCCCAGGGTGCGTTTTTGAGCAGTTTCCTCAAAAATCCATGCTAGCTTGCCCTGGCCTCATAATGCTTTTTTTCAGGCTCCCCCGCTCGGTTCGTGCTCGAATCGAGGCTTCTCGGCTCGTCCTCTCGTGCCTGGCGCCTTGCCGGTGACTGCTCTCCCGGATCACATCCCCTCCTGGGCGCCGCCGCTCTACAGCCAGAAATTGAACTGTGAGTTTGGGGCGATTTCGTGGCGTAATCGATTCCCAAAGGATTTCTGCTAGTTCGCCTTGCTAAAATTTTGAAATTTGACGTCCGAAGCTAAATTTTGGAGCTTAGGAAATTCTCATGGAATCTCTGGTCGCTCGCCTTGGATAATCAGGCGAAATTTCAAATTCTAGGGCTATTTTCTGTTCTGAGTTTTTTTTCCAAAAAATTTTTTTTTTTTACTATTTTTTTTTTAATATTTTTTTTTGGTGGGGGGGGGGGAAAAAAAGGGGAAAAAAGGACGGAGGGGCGGGGAAAAAAAAAAAAAGGGGGGAAAAAAAGGGGGAGAAAAAAAAATATTTTTTGAGGGTAGGGGAAAAAAAAAAGGGGGGGGGAAGAAAAAAAAAAAAAAAAAAAAAAAAAAAAAATGGGGAAAAGAAAAAAAAAAAAAAAAAAAAAAAAAAAGGAGGGAGGAAGGGGAAAGGATAAAATAAAAAAAAAAAAGAAAAAAAAGGAAGGGGAAAAAAGTTGTGTTTTGGGGAATGGGAAAAAAAGGAATAGAAAAAGAAAAATAAGGGAATGAGGGGGGAAATAATAAAAATTTTATTTAAAAAAAAAAAAAAAAAAATATATAATAAATTTTATATTAATTAAATGTTTTTTGGGTTGGGGGGGAGGGGAGGGGAAAGAAGAGAAAAAAAAGAGAAAAAAAGGAAAAAAATAAGAAAGAAAAAAAAAAGAAAATAAAAAAAATTTTTTTTTTTAAAAAAAAATAGAATAAAAAAAAAAAATATAAAAAAAATTGAAAAAAGATAATAGGGGGGAGTAGAAAAAAAAATAAAAAAAAAAAAAAAAAAAAAAGGAAAAAATGGGGGTAAAAAAAAATAAAAAAAAAAAAAAGAAGGGGGGGGTTTGAGGGGGGGTTATTTGGGGGGGGGGAAAAAAATAAAAATTGGGATAAAATTAAAATTTAATAAAAAATTAAAGGGGAAAAAATAAATTTAAAATTATTAAAAAATAAAAAAAAAAAAAATAATAAAAAAAAAAAAAGGAGAAAAAAAAAAAAAAAATAAATAGGAAAAAAGAAAATAAAATAAATAAAAAAAAATAAAAGGGATTAAAAAATTTTTAAAAAAGGAAAATAAAAAAAAAATTTTTTAAAAAATAATAAAAAAAAAAATTTTTTAAAAATGAAAATATTAAAAAAAAAAAAAAAAAAAGAGGGGAGGATTTAAAAAAGAAAAAAAGAAAAAATTAAAAAAAAAATAATAAGAAAAAAAAAATAAATTTAAAAAATTTAAGGAAAAATTTTTTTTTAGATTATTATATAAAAAAATTAATTAAAATAATAAAAAAAAAAAATAAAAAAAAGGGAAAAAAAAAGGAAAAAAAAAAAAAAAAAAAAAAAAAAAATTTTTTTTTTTTTTTTTTTTTTTTTTTTTTTTTTTTTTTTTTTTTTTTTTTTTTTTTTTTTTTTTTTTTTTTTAAAAAAATATTTTATTTTAAAAAAAATTTTTTAAATAAATAAAAAAAAAAAAAAAAAAAAAAAAAAAAAAAAAAAAAAAAAAAAAAAAAAAAAAAAAATTTTTAAAAAAAATAAGGGTTTTTAAATTATAAATGGTGAAAAAAAAAAAAAAAATAAAAAAAAAAAATAAAAAAAAAAAAAAAAAAAAAAAAAAAAGGAAAAAAAAAAAATATGAAGGAAAAAGAGGGGGTGAAAATTAGGGAAAAAAGAGGGGGGGTTTAAAAAAAACCCAACACCACCCCCCCCCCCCCCAGCTAGCGCTCAGTTTTGACGAATTTCCTAGCGTAACCGGCTCAAATTTGCCCGGCAAACTAGCAGAAACGGTTTGAACGCTTTCGAATAGGATTTCTGTGAAAGTCTCGCTATAATTTTGCAGGCTTCGTCGCGTAACTGATTAAAATCTTCTTGGCGTGCTAGCAGGGTTTCTTTGGGGTTTTTTTTTGCATAAAAAGCGCCTGATCTCGTTTTGAATGCAAAATTTTAGGCGGAGAATTTTATGGCGTAATCAGATTCCTAAAAAAATCTCTGCTAGCACCCCCGCAAATTCCTTTTTTTCAGTTGTCGACCCGTTCGCCCCGGTGCCAGAGCCAGTCGCCGAACCCCCGATCCCGGTCGACGATTTCCCGGATTTTATGGGCGCCGATGTGCGGAGTTTGGGTCAGTTTTCGTGCTTATTTTTTATCTTAGAGTTTTATAAATGTTTTTTGACATTTTCTAGCTAATATTTTGTAGTTTTGTAGATTTTTATTGAAAACCCCCATTTATAGGCATCCTGCCCGACCCCCGGACGGCGCTGGTCGCCCCGATCCGTGTGCGCAAGAACCTGCCGCTGACGGTGGACACCTCCTACACGCAGGTCTCCATCCAGATGCTCGAACGGGACGCCGACCAGGAGCACCCCGACACTTTGAAGGCCCCCGTGCTGCGCATCAAGATCATGAAGGTAAGGGCGAGGACCAGGGGAGGCGGAGCAGGGATTATTGGGGAAATTTTGAGACTGATTTGGATTCCTCCCAACGCTTTCTTGACGCTTCTGGGGCAAAATCCTTGCTTTTCGGCGTTTTTGGCGAATTTTTTGATGCGGCGATTTGCGCGGAAGGGGTCAGCTAGCAGAGATCCTTTGGGAATTTCAGAAAATCGATAAAGCCGTTTAAATTCTCCATTTTAGCCGGCCTTCTTGAAGTTGCTGGGCAAAATGAAGCCGAAATTTTTGCGCTTTTGCCACGTTTTTTACGCGGGGTTTTGTTAGAAAGAGGCTAATCTAGCAGAGAAACTTTAGGAATTTCATAACTATAAAGTTCGGAAAATTCCCTCATTTTCAGCCGACCTCGTTCGACGTGTCGTCGCCGATGAACTCGCCGGCCCTGCCCGTGCCGCCAATGTCCGCCCCGCCCGTCCATTCGATGACCGGAGCTGCCGATACCTGGACGAATGTAAGTTTTTCTTTTTTTTTCTTACTAAGCCGGTAGGCTAGCAGGGATCTTTGCGGAATTCTGCAAAATTTATGCGATTTTTTCGATTTTTTTCTACTTTACCAGGCCGACAAGCTAGCAGGGATCTTTGACGAACTCTGAAAATTTTTTATAGCAGTTTTAGCGAATTTAATTTTTCGCTTTTGACCCTTTTCTAGGCCAGCAGGCTAGCAGAGATTTTTGCGGAATGCAGGAAAATCCTGACTTTTTGCGAAATTTATGTCATTTTTAGTCACCGCAACTGCCCACGAAGCCGATGATCTCGCCGCTGATCGCCTCGTCGGCCACAAACTCCGGCCGCAGCACGCCGCTCCACCATCCGTTTACGCCATCAAATGCGCAGCCGCCGCTCGGGCTCGGACAACCGATTACGACGTCAAATGCCGTGCCGGCCAAGAAACGCGGACGGCCGCCGAAGAAGGGCGGCGCGGCGGCGTCGAGGCGCGGAAGTGTCGTCGACGATCCGGTAAGGGATATTTTGCATTTTTGAGCGTTTTAAAAACACGTCTTTTCGTTTTTTTTTTAAATTACGATTTTTAAATTCAAATGCTGATTTTTAAAAATATAAAAATTATCGAAGTTTTTGCAGAATGAGCTCTCCCCGGCCATCGCCTCCATCGTGCAGGCGATCAACGACGACGTGGCGCGGCAGCTGCGCGGCTTCTCCCCGCTCACCGCCACCAGCCCCACCTACAGCAGCCAGCCGGCCACCCCCACCACGCCCAGCGCCGCCCCCAAGAAGGTCATCAGGGTGCGTTTTTTCTGGATTTTTCGAGAAGGGGAGCTAGCAGAAAACCTTGGGGGAAATTGCCTAAATTTTGGCAGGCTAGCGTGGATTCTTGAGGAAATTTTCTAGATTCTGGCGAGCTAGCGGGAAACCTTGAGGAAATTTTTTCGGGGATTGGGCACGCTAGCAGAGGCCCTTGAGCAATTTCAACTTTATTTCTTTCAGCGTGCCTCCTACGTGCCACCCGTGGCCCCGATGGTGCTCCCGGCTCGCGCGAATCGAGGCCAAAACCCCCGGAATCTCTCCCCGCCCCTGGCCACGCCCACCACCCCGGCCACGCCGAAGGAGAAGAAGAAGTTCGTCGAGAAGCCGCAGGTATGCAAATTTTTGGGGGCCAGCTAGCAGAGATTCTTTGAGGAATTGGGGGCTAGCTTGCGGAGATTCCTAGGGAAACGTAGGCTAGCTAGCAGAGATTCTTTGAGGAAAGGGATACTTTGCTATTTTGACTTAATTAATTAAATTATTGAACATTGAAAATTAACATTTTTTTCCAGGCGTTCCCGCCAATGATCCTGAAGCTGCCCGCGTGGCCAAAAGCTCAACCGGCACCTCCAGCTCCACCACCACGCACCAGCTGCTGCTCCTCCCCCGGCCCCGCTCATCCTCAAGTTCCCGCCGATCGCCGTGGCCGCCCCGCCCCCGCAAGTGGTTACGGTATGTTTTTCCGGGTTTTAACGGATCTAATCCATTTTTTAGCCATCGCCGGCCCGTCCACTCCCTGCCCCAATTCCGCAAGAATCTCCCTCGGGCTACCACCTGCCACGCCGTCAGCACCAGCCGCCGAAGAAGTTCCAGGATGTGAGTTTTTGCAGCGGGGCATGCTAGCAGAGATTTTTTGAGGGTTTCCTCAACGATCACTGCTAGCCTCTTTTGGCCCGTTTATTCTAGTCTACGCAGGCTAGCAGAAATTCTTTCAGGCGCTTGAGGTTCCTCAAGGATCACTGCTGGCCTGTTTTGGACCGTTTTTCGATCTGAGCAAGCTAGCAGAGATTGTTTAGGGATGTTAGACTTCCTCAAGGATCACTGCTAGCCTGCCCTGATCCCAAATTTGAGAGCGTTCAGCTAATATATTGCGCTTTTTGCAGTTCGAGTCGGATCTGCCGCCATCGCTGGGCGGCCGGAAGCGTGGCCCGTCCGAAGCCGCCGAGCCCTCGCCCACCATCCGTGCCCCCACCACCAAGAAGGCCCGCCTGGACACGCCGCAGGTTTGTCGCATTTTTAGATTTTTGCCTCCAGCGGGCCTTTTAACACAATTTTTCGTGGATTTTTGCCTTCAGGGGGCCTTTAAAGTGGTTTTTCTAGATTTTTTTTTGGCTTTGATGGGCCTTTAAATAATTCTCATGTAGATTTGCCTTCACTTCCCCTTAAATACTTTTCTAATTGGCTCACGGACCTTTAAAAAGCAAAGAAGTTGAGTAACTTTATTATTTCCAGGCGACCCCCTCGGCTCGCGGCTCGTTGACGAAGAAGCGGGGCCGTGGCCGTCCAGCTGGTGTGGCCGGTCGGGCTGCGGTACCCAGTCCACCGAAGCAAACCGTGCCCAAGCTGCGTCTCATCATCCCCAGGACTACGGTAGAAGAGCGTGAAGACGACGACGGAGGAGGAGGAGTTTGAAGGTGATTTTTGGCGTGTTTTCGGGCAAGCTAGCAGGGATTATTTGCGGAATTTTTCCTCATCTTCAACTTTCCATTTTCAGATGACGTCGAGGAGGACGAGGAGCCCGAGGCCCCGCCCGCCCGGCTGCCGCTCAAGCTTCGGATATCGTTCGGATGCGATCGGATCGGTGATGGTGAGCGTTTTTCCGCAAATTAGCTCTGCTAGCTAGCCCGGAAATTGTACAATTCCTCAATGATCTCTGCTCGTTACCCTCGAAAATTCCTCATTTTTAGGCGCCCAAAACTCGCCGGAACCCCGCGTCGCCCTCAACATTGACCTCGGCCAGCGCTTCGGCTTCACCGGCACCGTGAATGGCGATGGTGGCGACGAGGGCGAGGTGGATGGAAGAGAAGCAGACGGCCCGGCGACGGAGACGATCGACAAGCGCGCCAAGCCGGTAGAAGACCAACAAGGCCGGGACGTCGTCGTGAATGCAATCATGGACGAGCTGTTGGACCGAATTTCGGCCCAATGATCTCTGCTAGTTGCCCCCCTTTCCATACCCTGCCCCCTTCTCAAATAACCCCTGCTAGTTAGCCCCCCGGTCTCTTGTCCCCCCCCCCCGTTAATTTTTCCCGGATTTTAAAGGGACCTGGAAGTGAGAGCCGGTTGAATTCCGAGGCGTAATCGATTCTGGATTTAGGATTTGCTAGCGTAATCCATTCCAAGGCTGGAAATACGTTGCGTAATCGATTCAGAATTCAGAATTACGCCGCGTAATCGATTGCAAACTTGAAATTACATTGCGTAATCGGTTGTACTCCACTTCCCGGTCCCTTTAATCTCGCCCCTTCATTATTTTGCCCTTTTTGTCTTTCCCACACCGTAACCCCACCGCAAAAATTCACTTTTTCCACTTTTATACGTTGTCGTCGCCCGTTCCGCGTTTTATACAAACAAAAAACCTCCACAATTCCTCTCGGGTGTGTACTTTGTACTTTGCGGCCTCCCCCATCCCCTCAAAATTAATTTTCCGCGTCTTTCCCATTTACACAAAAAATTTACATAGCGAAATTCCGACTACATATCGCCTGCCTGCCCCTCTAACTCCCTTCCCAGTGCCTTTAAAATTTTTTGCGCACGCTGAAAGGCCGCGCAAAAATGTTGTTATTTTGGGTTCTGGACTGTTAGCGGAGGGGGATGAATTTTTGAAATTTTGGATTTTTTTGTCCCTTTCTAGCAATTTATAGCAATCAAAAACTTTAAAACGATAAAAATAAAACTGCCAAAAAACTCTCCCTCCCCCCGTTAAAAGTCCAGTGCCTTATTTTGTTACAGATGTTGTTCTTCTTTGTCAAAACGCTATATCGGCCCTCCCTCCCTTCCCCCCGTTGATCTCACATTTCAAAAACAATTTGCGTGTAGATAAACACACGACAATCGATCGATTTGTGCACATTTATCGTCTACAAAAAGGGCGCAGTGACGGACTGCGTGCTTTTTAGGCTTGGAAATCACACTGGAATGACGAACAAATGGAATTTGGAACCTACAGAAAATTAAATATCGGCTTACACAATAATCGGTTCTTTTTCATTATCGGGGGACTAATTTTTTTTCCAAATTGTTTTTACTCTTCCTAAGTTTTAAAAATTTGAAAAAATACAAAAATTCGATAGATAAAATCGACCTAAAATGGCCGATTTTCGATCTCAATTTGATTTCAATTTTTACCAAGTTTTTTTATTTTTTTTCCTTTTTTAAGTATAGCTAAATTTTACTATAACCACTATTAAAACGCCTTAGCTTTCAAATTAAAGAAATCGGTCACGATTTTAACGTGAAAATGAGGCGTTTTTGTTATTTTAGGCGTTTCGAATGAGGCCAAAAAAATTTAGAAAGCAATGAAAACAACGATATTTTGTTACTTTTTAATGGTTTGAGCGTTGCTCGTCGTTTTTTTAGGAGAAGAAGCGCGCGACGCCGGAAGAAAACGACAAATTTCCGACAAGATTCTGTTCACGTTGCTGCTGATTTATTGTATTTAACTGTAAACTTTGTCGAATAAATTTTTGCCTGCACAACATTTGCCATAAATCGCACCCGCCGGGCTCTCAAAACCCTGTTTTTCTCTAGCATACTGCTCGCTTTATTTATCATTTAGTTTCTTCTCTAACTTTGCGAGCTAAACTTCTGATTTTCAGTCACTGTCGCCTTTTCTAGGCATGAAATTCGCCGACGCCGCGATTTTTCGGTTTAGCGGACTCAGTTTGGCTTGCCAGCGATCGCTAGTAGGGGCAGTTTGACGCGTCGAGCTCAAAAAAACAACACCTCGGATTGATTTGAGGCCAAAAATTCGGGTTTAGCTCGTTTAGCTAGCCTAGAATCAGTAGAAAAAAAGAAGGAGGAACACACCGTCTATAGACATGGTTCCGCTAAACCGAAATAGCCCTCAAAAATTTCTTGTTGAAATGGTACCATTTTCTCAGCTTCTCTTATCGTTTAAAACCGAAAGCCGGATGCATTTCTAATTTTTATTTTCCAGGTATCGACCATGAAGCGCGCCCATTCTCCTGCAAAGCCCGACCAGCCGGCGAAGTTTCCAAAGATGGAAATCCCGTTGCACAAGTTGCCGCCCAACGTCTTCAACACGATCGCCGGATTGCTGGATTCATCCTCTCTCCTGGAGCTCGCCAATTCGCATCCGGGAGTCAAGGAGCTGGTGCGCCGCTCGGAGAAGCACTGGCACGAGGTGGACACCAACCAGTACTGCTACCGCCCACCATACGTTACCCACTTCATCGACTACAACTTCCACACTCCTTCCGAAGCCAAGCTTCTCTTGACAAACTGCAAGATCGACCACCTGGACCGAGTTTGCGAAGTGCCGAATGCTCGCGGTCTGATCGATTTGCCGAACGAGTTGATGGAGAAGATTGTCCGGCCGCTCGATAATGCCACGCTCATGGAGCTCGTACCGGTGCATCAACGATTCAATGCGCTGAGGCGATCGATCGATATCGATTACCTACACCACAAGGCTGGACAATTCGCCGTTTCACGCAACCAATATGAGCCGATTTGGGAAAACGTGGAAGAAGCAGATTACCCTCCGGGTATCCCAATCAAAAATGCGTCCGCCTTGGACGGCAGGCGCGTTATGTTTGTCGTATACGAGGCCGGCGATCAGCTAAAGAAACACCCGCCAAAGAAAGTCAAGCCCGGCTTTACCTGCGAAAACTTCTTCTTCTACCTGATTGGCGGATGTCCCGACCGAGATGTCTACGGCAATTCCGTCTATCTGGATAAGGCAATCGTCCAGGATATCCTCAAGCCGACGAACGTTTTCTCAGCCGTTTTCATGCACTTCCTGACCGGCCAAAACTTTCCGAAGGGTTCGCTGTCGATCGGCGACGTGCGCTTGGACGAACTAAACGAAATGAAGCAAGTATACGCCCCGGCGCTGGCTTTTGGCATGAAAACCTGCTTGAAAGAATGCATCACGCTGATTTTGTACTACATCGATGAGTGGATGGCCGGAAAACGGAATATCAACACGCTGTGGGTTCGATGGGGCGCGACCGCCGTTCGACAAGCGCTCATCAAAGGGCTGCAGTTGACCGTGGACCCGAACGGCATCTTTCGAGGCCAGCTAAAGCGAGATGACGGCAAGCTTCTCGATGTTCGTGTCAGAAGGGAAGAAATTGTCTTCCAAGCGCCGGGCACATCCGTTCAATTCAGAAATGCGGCTTTCCGCCGTAAACCAGCACCCGTATTCTGAACGCGCCACAAGTCAGCCCCTTCTTCGACAAGAACACCTTTTCATTTATTATTTGCTCAGATTGCTTGATAAATATTTGTTACGAGTTACGCGTTGCTTTACTGAAATATTTGGGTTAGATACCCGGCGTTTTTGTAACCTTTAACGTTTTACGATTTTTAGATTGGCAACTTGAGCGCTGAATGGAGGCTGGGGCGCCCGTTTGCTAGGGCGCGGCCTGGCTACCGGGGCCGTTGCCGAGGAGAGGGCGCATTAGCCGGCCTAAGAGGTCCCACAAGCTTCATGAGGCTGAAAAACGGGCCAAAAAGGCTTAATTAGGCTAAAATTCGACTCTAAAAACGTTAGTTCTATCATTCGATCGTTTTGCGCGTCATTTCAAACACTAGAAAACATTTTCAGGCTTTGAAAGAGTAGTTTTTAGACACCAACCACGGCGTTGTTGAGTTTTGCGACTTTTGAGTGCGTTTTTCTTTTGATTTATTTGCTCTAAATCGTGTTTTAGCAATTGGAAAACCGTGATTTTATGCTAGACGTGGCGCTTTTTCAGTTTTAGGTTCAGCACGCAGCAGCACGGATAGATTTTAAGTTCTAAATCGTGTTTTAGTAATGGAAGTTATTTCTTGCCCTAGACGTGTTACTAATGCAATTCTGGATTGTGCACATCGTTTTGATTTCCATTTTCATCTCGAGATATCGTCTTAGTAAGGAAAAGGCTTTTTTTTCTTTTAGATTTTGCACTCAAAGTCCGATTTTTGTAATCGGAAAAATTATATTTCTTACTCTAGGCGATTTACGAATCCACTTCTATATTTTTCGTATCGTTTTGTTCCCCATTTTCTCTTCTATATCCTAATTTCACGCCCCTGATCCGCCATTTTCAGGTAAAGCCACCTCCACGAAATGCTGGCCGGCCTCGCGAGTATAGCTGGACGCGCCGCGGGCAGTGGATCGTTTCTGGTAGGCTTATTATCATGTTTTTCTCTATTTCCGACTCTAGATGTGCAATCTGCTGCGAGCCCTGCCCACCACGTCCACCGCAAATCTACACACCAGCGCCCCGGCGATGCGCAACAATTTATTGCAGGTAAATCTTGACGGTTTACCTAGATTTTGAAGGAAATCTGCTTGGAAAGCGTAGTTTTTGATGAGAATAGGCTAAATTGGGTTTTCTATTTTGTAGCCTATTCGAAATTATTTGCATTTGATTCGAAATGACTTTTTAGGCTTTTTAAAACGCTTTATAGGCTGGTTTTTCACGATTTACCGCTAAAAATTGCTCGTAAATCGTTAATTTCGTGTTTTTATTAGCTAGAATAGGTTTAATTAAGGATTTCGCGTGATTTTACAGCTTTTTCAATATTTTTTCCAGTATATTTCTGAATTTAATAAATTTAGAAGCTTTTTTTATCCATTGAAAAACTTAGAAGAGGATTTCTTTTTTTTTATACGTTAAAACGACCAATTTATTTTTTGCAGTACATGCACGAGAACGGGATGCCGAAGCGGAAGGCGCGGAAGGCCGACAAGTCGCCCATCACCGGCTACAATACCATCCGGGGCATCGTGCTGAAGAGTGCGTTTTTTCCGAGATTTGTAGGGCTTTTTAGGCGATATTTTGGAGTTTTTAGACGAGAAACCCTGCTCGTTCGATAGAGCGCGAAATTCTACGCAAAATACGTTTTTTGAGAATTTCTAGAAAAATCTGGTTTGATCAGAATCAGTCTTTTCGTTTTTAGAAAGCTAAAATATGGCCTAAAAACGTGTTGCTAAATTTTGATTTGTAAATGAGGATTTTCATACTGTAATTCTCCATTTTAGCCGTCATCCGCCACCCGAAAAAGCCGAACTCCGGCAACCGAAAGTGCGCCATCGTCAAGCTGTCCAACGGCAACGAGGTGGGTATCTCTCTCTCTCTCCTCTCTCTCTCTCTCTCTCTCGCTTTTTCGATATTTCGATACTTTACAACCTAATTTTGACCTTTTCAGGTGTGCGCCTACATCCCGGGCGTCGGCCACAATTTGCAGGAGCACTCGCAGGTGTGTTTTCATTTATTTGCGATTCTTCTTTCTCTTTTTAGTCTTTCTTTTTATCACTTTTCGTTTCTTTTGACGCCATTTTTGAGAGGGTTGGGTAAAAAAACTCGTAAAAGTCCCGAAAACCCCTAGTTTTAAATCCTAAATAAAAAGTTGAGAAAACTTGAGAACTAGGGCAAGAGAGCGTGTGAGTGAGAGAGTGAGCGAGAGAGAAGATAAAAAAAGCTTGTTACAACCCTAATTCCCCTCTTTTAAAGGTGGTGGTGAAGGGCGGCCGACGGCGTGACCTGATCTCGGTGCGGGCCAACATTTTGCGCGGCAAGCTCGACTGCGCCCCGGCCGGCGGCAAGAAATAACCGGAAAAACACGGCCGGACGATAAGCCCTAATTTCTGTTTGTCTGTCGCGTTTTTTTGCGTGCGTGTGCGTGTCTGTCCATTTCTCGCGTTGTCATTATTTTTTTTGGGTCGCCCAAAAAGGCCTTTTTTTCTCTCGCTAGTTGTATAGGAATCGTCGATTTATCTGTTTTCGCTGGATTTGTTTGTCTCGTTTTGATTTTGGCGTCTTGTTTTGGGAATGAAGATTTTTGAAAATTAAACTATTTCGACGAAAAATACACGCCATGAAATTCGGGGAATCGATTACGCGATGAAAATCGGAGCTGGAAACTCCGGAAAATTCGATTTTTGCCGTTTTAAAAGCGCTTGGCAAGACGTACAATCGATTACGCGATGAAAATCGGGCTCAAAATTTTTGAAATTTGAAATTTTTGCTTCTTAAAGGCCTCCAAAGCCGGGCAACGATTACGCGATTAAACGGCGCTAAGATTTTCCTCGATTTTTCGTTTTAAGGGGTTTGGGGGGCCAGGAAATCGAATTTTCGATGCAAAAAACGAAGTAGCCTAGGTGGGCCTAATCGATTACGGCATGAAAATCAGCTTTCAATGGCCCTCTAAAATGGTATTTTTTTTAGTTTTTCAATCAGAAAATCACAATTTATTTGACAGCAAAATCTGGCAATAAAATAGAAATATCACTGCGTTTTTCGGCGCTCTCAAAAATCTATTTTTGGGCGAATTCCTGCTTCAGCTTTTCGGCCAGCACTTTCCGGGCTTTCACCACTTCCTCGTCCGCCTAAAAACGGAAGTTCTCACGATTTTTGAGCTACCAAAAACCTGAATCGGCCGCGTCTCGCCGCGAAGCGCGTCCCGCGCCGCGCGCGCCGTCTTCGGCCGTCCGTTCGTGGATTTTTCCTCTTCCTAAATGGCCACTGCTAGCTTGACCGGGGGTTGGGGAATCCGCAAATGTTCTATGCTAGCTTGCCCAGCTAGATTGCTGCTAGAATCTCGCTAAAAATCTCTGCTAGTTTGCCTAGATCTCGATTTCCTAAAGGGTCTCTGCTAGCTGCCCTTTGCCCTGAGCGTCCGCAAATTGTCTCTGCTAGCTTGCCCCACCGTCCATTGCTTCCTAAAGGATCTGTGCTAGCCTGCCCAGGGTCTCAGGCCTCCTGCGATCCTCAAGAATCTCTGCTAGCCTGCCCGATACCCTGGGAATTTTCTAGAAATTTGCTAGTTCCCGGGCACGAGTTCTCTAATAACCCTGCTATCTTCCCTGCCGCCCCGATAGATCCCAACGATCCTGCTAGCATGCCCTGACCCTAATCTCCAATCAAAACCCCCCCATTTTCCTAAAACACTGCTAGTGCCTTGCCGCTTCCGATAAATCCCTAATGACCTCTGCTAGCCTGCCCTGATCCTATCTCGCCGTTTTTCCGCAAAGAATCCCTGCTAGCCTGCGCCTCCAACTCACCAACTGCAGCAACCTCTCCCTCTCCTGCTTCTTCTTCTCGATAATCCGGTCCCGCTGCGCCTTCAGGTATTCTGCCCTCGCTGCCACGTCGGCGCTGGCGATTCGAGAGGGCTCTTGGAGGAGCGCCTGAACAATTAAATCGATTAAAGGGACCGAGAAGGCAAAGAATCTCTGCTAGCCTGTCCTGACGAATTGGCGCCGAGTGGCAAGCTGGCAGAGATTCTTTGAGGAATTCCACAAATCGCCGCTGCGAGCTTCTCAAAGAATCCCTGCTACTTTCCCAGGCATGCTAGGGGGCAGGCTGGCAGCGATTCTTTGGGAATTTCGACAAATGGTCTCTGCTAGCTTCGCCGTGCCTTTAAGTTGCCGAAATTCCCCAAAAATCCCTGCTAGCCTGCCCCATCCCTCAAAATCCTCACATTAATGTCAGCCGGCGTCCTCCCCTTGGCCTCCTCCTCCTCCTCGGCATTCTCCATGCTCCCCCGCTCGTCCTTCAGCTTTTCTGAGATGGGCGGCGCCCCTTTTCCGACGATCGGCTCTCGCACTGGCCCTACCGTAATCTTTTTCTGAAAAAATGAGTTAGTTGAATTAATAAGTCTAAACAATAAAATTAATAATTTTTTAAATTTTATTAGCATATTTATTGTAATTTAAACTTTGATTTGCTGGCTTTTTTTACCTTTTCCGGTTGCGCTGCCGGCTCGGGCTTTGGCGGCTTTTTCGCCTGACTCGTCGAAGCCTGAAACTTTGCTTTTTTAGGTGTCACCGTCCCTTTAAAAGCGAAAAACGGTTTCCTACCTTTTCCGGTTTTTCCGGTTTCTCCGGCTTTTCCGGTTTCTCAGGCGTCGCGGCCGGCGGTGCGCTGGCGATGGCTAGCTTTTCCGTATCGCCGACCAGTTGGTTGCCGGAATTCTGAATCTCCGGAATTTCTCAAAGAATCTCTGCTAGCCTGCCCCACCAATTCCTCAAAGAATCTCTGCTAGCTGACCTCGTCGAGCCTGTTTCTCTCGGCTTCCGAAAATCGCCGGATCGCCTCCAAGTCGAGCTGCAGTTGGTGCTGCTTCTCCTCATCGAACTCTTCTTTCGACCTCCTGAGCACGGCATTCAGGAGAATATGGTCCATTTCTTCTCGACTAGAAAAAAAATGGGTGTTCCCTAGGTGTCACGCTCCCTTTAAAACTTAAATTTGTGTTTATAGGCGTATTTTGTAGAGTTTTTCAAGGGCTCTCGAATGGTGTATATAACATTACGATAGCTAATTCCCGGCGAAAGTTATAGCCAGTTGAAGTCTGTAGCCGCTGGCTACAAACTACAATCAACCGTATCTTGGCGTAGTAATGTCAGATTTTCATGATTTTTAGCTGATTTTGAAGCGCTTTTTCAGATCTATCAATTTGTGCCAGTCTTTCCCGAAAATTCCGCAAAGAATCTCTGCTCGTTGGCCCCCAAATCCCCACCTCAAATGGTGGCTTTTCCTGATCTCTTCCAGCTCCTCCATGCTCCCAACGCAGGGCAGCAGGCCGCACATGAACTAAAAATACGTATTAAGCTGAGAATCCGGTTTTTTCGATTTTAAAGGGATGGTGACACCTCGATTAATTGCAAAGCCTGGAGTTGCAGCTCCACATTCTTCTTCCGCATCATTGGGATGAAGATTTCGAGGTCCTGGGCGGCCATCACCGGCTCGAGGGCTGCCTGGAAGGTTTGGGCTTAGGTTTAGGCTTAGCCTTAGGCTTGGCCTAGCCTTGGCTGAGGCTTAGGTTTGGCTTAGGCTTAGGCTTGAACTGGGCTTAGGCTTACCCTGGTCCTGGCGTTGAGCGTCTCCTTCTCGACGGCCGTCAGCGCCTCGGCGAACTGGGAACCCTGGAAAACCGGAAATGTTCCTAAATGGTCTCTGCTAGCTTGCCCAGCCTTCCACGGCCCTTTAAACGTTTTAAAGGGACGGTGACACATAGAAAAATCTGTTTCAAAGGGCTAGAGACGCTGAATTTTCTTAGGGTTTCCTCAAGAATCTCTGTTAGCTGTTCGTTTTCTCTCTCTCTCTCGCTCTCTCCCACCTACCGTAATCCCGATATCCTCACAAAAGCATCCAATTAAGACGTCAACAAGTGCCGCGTACTCCTGATGAACGGCTTCATGTTGGGCGGGATCGCCGTGGTCGACGTCGAATACTGGAAAACGAGGGATCGAGGGATAATACAGAAGAGAGGGCTACGGTACGTTTTCTCGTCGTTTAATTTCTGCTTTTGCATTTCTCATTTTTGATTCTTTGATTTTCAAGGGGCACGACTTCGGGGAGTTCAGGGAATTCGGGGACTTTTGACTTCCAGGGACTTTTAAAGGGAACGTGGCAGCTAGGCAGGACTTACATAACGATTTGTGCTCAATGAAAGTCGAAATCGGGATATCCCAGACGGACGAGTGGATAAAGTCGATGAACCGCTTGAAGATCTGGTTTGGGGTCTGGGAACGGACGGAGAGACGGCGCAGCATTTCTTTTCTTCGTCTAAAGGCACGGTGAAGTTCAATGCCGAGAATTTTTGGCCAGCTAACCAGGAACTTTGAGGAATTTTCGCAGGGGTAGACTAGCAGAAAAGCTTCACGAAATTCTTACGCCCGGAAAATTCAACAATAGGCGCCCCAAAAATCGATGGTTTCCGGTGTGCGCGGACAGGTGGGTGGGCCGCCGCGCGAAAATAGCCCGAAATGGAGGGGTTTCTGGCCTCTGACGGGTTGCCAGGGGCAACGCTGTTTTCAGAAATCTCTCTCACTCTCTCTCGCTCTCTCTAGCACTCTCTCTCTCTCTCGCTCTAGCTCTGAAATCTGGGGCTTCATTGTGGGAATTCACTCGGGAATACATCAAAATTTGCCAGCTCTCTTAATTGCGATGCCGCCAATCAGTGGGTTACGGTAGCCGGGGTGCTTTTTAGGGAAACCCCTGGGGACCCGGAAGGAGGACCAATTTTGAAGATTTCGATAGAATTGCACGTTTTTGGGTGCAAAATGGAGGCGCAGGCTAGCAGAGATTCTTTAAGGAAATGAGTTTCAAAAGTTAGGCCAGCGCGGATTTTTGTGGAAAGCGCTATTTTTCAGGGCAGGCTAGCAGAGATTCTTTGCGGAAATTCTTTAGCTTGTGTTTTCAGGTATAAATTTATTTATTTCGCCAAGAACTCGTAAAAGAAAGTAGGTACCCGTAATTCAAAAACCGGCGTAAATATGACAATGAAACGCAAAAAAAATGAAAAATACAAATTTCAGATAGCTACGGTAGGCTCACAAAAATTCAAAAACGCAAAATTCAAAATACAGTACACTTAAACGAGCATATTTTGTATATTTTGAGCGATTTGGGCCATTGTGAGCTGGTCGTTGGCTAGCGAAACGTCGAGCTCAGCTACTAGAGCCTTCTGCGCTTCATTAGCTCCTTGCCACAGAAAATCCCGAGCTATCGAGCGGTAGAATTTGGAGGCTGTGTCGCGATCGTCTAAAAAACGATTTTATTGAAATTCTTTGCGATTTTTTGGGGTACTGAGCCCTCAAAAAGGTGCCTTACCGTAATCCCCATCCCTACGTTCGCTTACGTCATCAAAATCGACGAACAGGGGTTGGGTGTAGGGGTGTCCTGAGGGCAGGAAATGAATGCCGAGGACAAACTGGAAATAAATGGTTTCTGCTAGCTTGCCTGTGGCTTGAATTTTCCTAAATGATCTCTGCTAGCCTTCCCTGCCTTGAATCGGCCGTTAATTGACCTTAAAGAGCGATTGAAGGCAAAAATCAACTTCCAAGGGTCTCTGCTAGCTTGCCTGGGTTTTCCCAGCCTCCCAAATGCTCTCTGCTAGCCTGCCATGTCTTCAACCACCTTTGGAAACGGTCTAAAGCGACAATGACACCCCCAGAAATTTAGTTTAAAGAGCCAGTGAAGGCAAAATCCCCCAATTCCTCAAAGAATCCCTGCTAGCTGACCTGTTGCCTCCGCAAATCGCCGAATCTCAGCCCCGGATGCCTTGCTAAGAATTCAGCCATTTTGTGAAAGATTTCGAGCATCTCGTTTCTCGGATATTTCAGCAATTTTAGTGTCGTAATCGGTTCGCCCAGCTCGGTGGCGATGGTCGGGTTGTCGGCCTCGGCGCAGTAGCTGAACAGCTGAAAAGGGCATGGATTCTTATGGAAGGTGACTTCAATGGTCCTTTAAAGGGACAGTGACAGTTAGAATCTTATGGATTTTGGCTTCAATGGCCCTTTAAAAAGCTAAGAACCTACCCTTGGAACGGCCGGATCTCCCTGAAGCCTCAAAAGCCACCGTATCTCTCGTAGAAACGTCTCACGAGCCTTGCGCATGCAGATTAGCTCCTGAAAGTTGGGACTTGGTGCCTCAAGAATCTCTGCTAGTTTGCCGGGCTTGGGCTTTGGCTTAGACTTGGCTTGGACTTGGACTTGGCTTAGCCTTGGGCTTAGGCTTAGGCGTAGGCGTAGGCTTTGGCTCACCGTATGCATAGATCCAAACCATCTCCATCTGCACCTCCTCCACCCCTCGCCCTCCATATTCGGGAGCTTCAGCGCGTGATTCCGAAGCCGGTAGACCGACTTGGACCAGCCCTGGCCGACGAGTTTCGCAAATTTTTTGATTCCCTCGGCGTCAGGGCAGCGGAGAAGGGAATCTAAAACCGAATCTCTAGCCGTTTCTGCCTTCAATGGGCCTTTAACCATCAAAAATTCAAAAACTGGTATTTCCTTATGGATTTTTGCCTTCCTAGCCCCTTTAAACTTCCAAAAAACCTACCATTAGTGCCTGGAAGCGCCAATCCAGCTGACGTCTCGATTAGAGTATCACCCAGAGGATTGACGGGAAATTCTGAAAGATACTGTAGCTAGGCAGGCAAGCAGAGATCAGTTTGGAATTTTCTTGGCCATTGTTTGCTTTCAACGGCACTTTAAAACCGATTTTAGAGGTGTCACCGTCCCTTTAAAACGTTCTAAAGGACCGTTAATGGCTGGGCAGGCTAGCAGAGTCCATTTTGGAGCGGCTTTTTGCCTTCATAGGCCCTTTAAAACCGATTTTCGCGTTTTAAAGGACCGATGAAGTAAGGGTAGGCTAGCAGAGATCATTGAGGATCGACAGGACCTACCATTAATAGGGAAATACTCCTCTTCGATCCACAGCGCTGCTTCGAGGAGTTGGCTACGAAAAGTGACGGCCAGGAGGGGGAGGAAGAGAATGGAGATCAGCAGCTTTTCCCTCATCGCGTCATGCTGAATTCAGGCATTAATAGGAGGGGCAGGCTAGCAGAGGTTCTTTGAGGATATTGAGAGGCTAGATAGCAGAGATTCTTTGGGGAATTGTAGGACAAGAAACCCAATCGACCTATCGGAAAAGGTGTGAAAATGACGCCCTGCGTCGGGGTGCTAGGCGACAGAAAGAGAGCGAGAGAAAGAGAGAGAGAGAGAGAGAGAGAGAGAGAGAGAGAGAGAGAGAGAAAGAGAGAGAACGATTGTGCCCCGCATATCCATGTAACCCAATTTGGACCAAGCGCCGACGCTTAACGGTTAGCGAGATAGACCCAAAATTTGGGTATTGGGGTGTATTCCAGAAAAGTATTGGTCTTAAAGGCCCATAGAAGCCAGTAGGCGAGGGCAGGATAGCAGAGAATCTTGAGGAACGGGGCGGAGCCTACAAGCGGGCAGACTAGCAAGGATTCTTTGGCTCCAGGCAACCTTGCAAAGACAATTTTCGACCGATTAAAGGACCTCAGAAGCCATTAAATCATCCAAAAACCCGGCGGGTGAGGCGTTAATTGGTAGGCGGCAACTCGGGGCCCGGCGGGGGGTGCTTGGGCAGTTCCGGAGAGAGGCTGGGCCTTTGGCCGGGTGATTGATGATGGGCAGGGCATATTTGTGAGGGCTGGAGAAAGAGGGAGAGAGAGAGAGAGAGAGAGAGAGAGAGAGATCTCTCCCTCCTCCCCCTTGGGTCCTCCTCCTCCTCTCGACCCATCAATCACCCTGCCCCGTCCACCACCTCGATTTATGCACACAAACCCCCGGCACTTCCTGCCCCCCTTCAAACACCCCATGCTCCGGCCACACACACCCCCTGAAAGTGACCGAATTTATGGCCTTGGGCGGGCTAGCGGAGGTTTTTGGGGAATTAAGGGGCAGGCTAGCAGGGATTCGTAAGGAATTGGGGAAGGGATGGCTAGCAGAGACCATTTAGGGGCGCCAAGAAGCTAGGGCGAGCTAGCAGAGTTCGTTTCGGAAGAGACTAGGGTCAGGGCCAGCTAGCGGAGACCCTTTAGGAACCCATTCCGACCTACAGCATCCTTGCAGAGATCATTTGCGAGACTCAAGAGTCAGGGCAAGTTAGCGGAGGTCATTTGGGAAGATTCCAGGCCTTGCCAAGCTGGCAGAGACTCTTTAGGAAGCCTAGCCAAATCCAGGGCGGGCTAGCAGTGATTTTTTAGGAATCCGGGAACCGGCAAGCTGACAGAGACCATTTAGGAAATGAGGTGTTTCGACGGGGACCCGCTAATTTATTGGGTGTTTGCCCGATAAAGCCATCAGGAGGGAGAGAAGGAGCGGAAAAGCCGAGGTGTGGAATTTTCAGGGGGGCCCAGCCCCCCTCAAAAAATGGACTGATAAGGATTTTGAAGCTGCGGAAGACACGTGCACATCTTCCCGCCCTGTTTTTAGCTTAACTGGAAAATCAGGAAAAACGAAGCACGCAGAGCGAGATTATTGAGGAATTCGGAGGCGAACAGGGAACAATCAAAGAGCTAGAATTTTGAGAGTGGAAGCGAGAGAGAGCGAGTGAGAGAGAGAGAGAGAGAGAGAAAGATAATAAAAATAACTCAAAAATTGGATAAATCGAATTTCCTTGGCAAATTAATTACCCTTTACGTCTGGTTGGGTTCTTCGTATTCCACCGGCCCTCTCTGTGTCATTTTTGTGTGTTTTCGAAAACAGCCAAAATTGTTCCGAATTTGCATTGCGCACTGGAGCGAGGAGCTTACGATAAAATTTTCTCTAGGCGTCGATGTACGGTAGCGAACTGTAGCGTACTCAGGCGTACCGTAGCGTTCCGTAGTGTATCATAAAGCGCAACAACGGACTGTCGTGTACTGTTGCGTGCGTTGACGTACTATGGCGTACGAAATCATGCTCTTGCGTAGTGTAACGGAACGTAGAATACGGTGGTGTATTGTGGCGTACTGTGGCGTACTGTAAAGGGGTCTGGCGGAATTTATCGAAGTTGGTGAAGCGTACTTTAGCCGTACTAACGTACCGTTTTGCTCTATACCTTACTGTAACGTACGGTAGCAAGCAGTAGCGTACTGTGACATACCGTAGCGCAATGTAGCGTAAAATGGCCTACTATAGCGCACTGTGGCGTAAAGCAGCTTATTCTAGGGAGTGCAGCGTACCGTATTTCCACAGCATTGGCCTTCAATGCCCCTTTAAAAACGATGTTGAACTTGAAGGCATGCGAGCAGAGATCCTTT